GTGTTCGGCTATCTTTAGGGATTCTTATTTTCTCTATTTTATGTACAATAATAATGTGCGTATAAAATTGATTGAAATTGCAAAAATAGAATAAAATTTGTAAAATGCAGTTCTTTTTATGTTCATCCATTTTTTTTGTCAGTTAAAATAAGTATTTTCCCTTTGAGCAGGTAATTGATATCAAAGAATATATGAATATGTTGATATACAAACATTAATGCATTTGTTTAGATTAAATCATGCTGTCCAATTGAGTGATAGTCTAATGGATAAGCATCATTTGTTCAAGCTCTGCTCTAAAACAATCATTATTATAACAGTACTAGATAGTTACAAGACTTGAGAATGATGTATCTTTAAGATCAATAATTCAAAGTGAAAATTGAAGTTTGTACCAAGGAACAATAGAGAGTGTATGCACACTTTTCGTGCAATAACATCTGCTGTAGCACGAGGACGTATAAAAGCCTGGGCCAACTGGACGAGGGATTACATATGTAAGAGGTACATAAATTAGCGCTATTCTTGTATGAACGTATTCGTCTAAATTAGTTACTGGCATTTCGTTATCTGACATGCTTTCCTCATGCTAGTGCGATGTCTTTTTGGTAGTTTTGATATTAAAACTTTAAAGGACCGCCATTGCATTAAACTGTTTTCACAATGCGCACTGAATCAATATATTAAAAAAAGTTCAACAACGGTGCATGGCCACGAGAATATATCCTTTAATACATGTTATGTTTTTTTCTAAATTTATACCTATGTACGTTATTTGTTTGCAAGAATCGTGAAATAATTGATTGCATTTCTAAATTAATGCCCTGCTTTCAAGTCATTTTATTATATTTGTAAGTATTTATTCACTTTCTATAATATTTGTAAATAATTTTGTTCTGTCTCATTTATTTTAGGACGCTAAAGCTAAGAAACAAGTAACATTTATATTTGTTAAATTCAATTCAATTATATCATTCATTGGACAATGTGTTAATGTTCTCCGAATTGTGATTGATAGGGTGTTACATCTTATTCCATTTACGACGATGTAGATAATAAATGACAGTGATATATTTTTTCTAATCGTTTATACCATTTAAACTTAATATTGTTAGATGATGTTATGTGAAATATCATTTCGAATGCCTTAAAGTGTGAACAAAATGATAACAAAAATGATTATACCAATAATGAGGTCATAAATTTTCTTTAATCATATTATGGACGCAATGATGATCTATGGTTAAAAAACAACATATATCTTTCAGAAAACTCTAGGTCATACGTTCAGATTAAAACTGTTGTTTAGTTGTACCTTTACATTTTTGTCGTTATTTTAACGAACTCAAAATGTGTTTATGCACAAAGATCAATGATTCTGACACAGCGTGTATAGTTAACCTTTTCAACAAACTCAGCATTACCACTTTTTCTAGTCAAACATGGCTTTTACGTAACATATATTCACAGTTTCGGTTACAAATAATGATACAATCAGACATGAAATCCATTCCGACCAAAGTAGGTATTTAAATTTTCCAATATGTACAAAAACAAAAGATTTAATGTCTACAGAATGCTGTATCTCCTCCCATCTCATGTCTCTTAAATAGCTTAGTGCTGGAGAAACTAATAAATAAAAACAGAAGCTTTTCCTTCTATCTGGCGTGTATAATATTTTATTCCTGACAGGGGTATTATTGCTTCAGTAGATTACACTTATTACTTCACTTAATGTACGATGCATTCACTCATACAAGAACTGCACCAATATCTATAGAAATCTTTAAAAAATACTATTCTGAGAAATAAGTTATGGCTTAATATAATAGTTTAATATAATAAGATAATTAATATACTGATTAAAGCGGGCCAATAAATTTTTGCGAAACGTCATATTTTTCTTCATTTAAAATGAGTGATTCACCTAAACTAAGTAATAGAAAGAGGATTGAAACACGAGGCTACTGATTTGTACGATTATATAGTAGATTGCCAATTGTTTTGATATTCTTTAGAATCGTAGACAAAAACTAGAAATGTGTCCATAGGACATGGGTGCCCACACCGCGCCACTGTTCTGTCAATCTTTTTACTAAGTCAAGGGAAATAACTCTACAATACTGGATAAATCCACAAGCGAAACCCAAGGTGCAAATCTAAATATGCTGAGCAACCTGCCCGTAAGGTTTAATAAATATGCCAAATCCTTTTTGAGTAACTTTCGACACAAGTTGAAAATTCTCCCAACGGCGTGTTGTCGCACTTTTGTCTTGTCGTTCTTGTCGCTACCGCCAACTAGATGCACAAACGCGTACCAAATCAGCCACCATAGGTAATTCATGCCTACACTACGCTAAACACGCTGTGCATGTTCGTGGGATGTTCGAATATTCGTAGACTATTGTATGCCGTTAAGAATTAAATAATGCACCTATCATACGCCGGTATCTGCACGTCAATTTGATGCGACGTCACGATAAAGTCAACGTTTTGTTGAACTCGATGCAACGTTGGTGGCTGTAGATCCAATGGCTTTATATAAGTTTTAATACAAAACATTGTATTATATCAAGAAAATGTCTCGCTATCTAGCATGTCTGCGGAGGAACGCCCGTGACTCTTGTCGCCTGTGCTTTTTCTCGTGACCCGTCAGGAGTTTTGGTACCCCATCTTGCCTGAATATACTTGTTTACAGGTATTTACAGGTGAAACATCTCCGTCAGCTCCCGAACGTTTAAACGTGTGTCATCTTCCAATTGTCGTAACCACGGACGTCGTAATTTTTTACTTTCTTTTCTCCCACTGTCATCCTTTTATTGTTTCTCTGCTGGTACTTAATCGTCTATGCCATTTAAAAAAACCAGTGCACGACTAACGGCACTTGCATGGTGTGTACGATTTAACTCACATTTTCGATAAAAAGGTCTTCTAACTATGATACAACTATCATTAATCTCTTAATAGAGAATTTGAGTGTGTGTCAAAGAGTAATAAAGGGAAAACATACAAATGAATTTCTATTTTGTCATTAAAATAAAACAAATTCTTATTATATACACACATTTAATATATAATATCGATGTCATCTGCAGACAACTCGGTAACCAAAAATCTGGTAACCAAGTGACCCCTCGGAAGCATTTATCACAACAAAATTACATGAAACTTTAACCAATGTCATTAATACGAACTATAACGATTTTCTACTTATTTTATGACTTACAATTACAGAACACAATAAAGTCAGAATGATCTATTGAAATCTGCAATTTTATTTTGCATAATAATTAAATATACATATTAAAACATTCAATCATTTTTGATACAGATATTTTAAAATGTGCATCAAACACTAATATTAAACTATGTAAATGTACCTGATAATACTCAGGGTGGAAGAACTGTTACACGAGGGAAGGAGTTCTTGAAATCTTGTAAGGCGTTCTTGTGATAACTTTCACGGTGTTCGTCGGAAAACTTTGTATATACTACAAAAACACTCGTAAAAATCTTTAAAAATTGAGTTTTAGCTGCTAAATCAAACTTTAATGATTAAGTGTTCCTTACATCTTCTATAATGTGTCACTCTTGATTAAATTCTGGTAGTTTTGAGCTAAACTTCCAAATTATTTGCCAATTCGCACGTATTAACATGATTATCTCTGATCTTCATCCTTGTCATACATAATTACCTTGATATAATGCTAAATTGCAAACATAAAGCCCCGGCTAACAAATTTATGCCCGATTTTTCAAATGTCCTGGATTTCTTGTGATAACCCTGAAGACGTCCTTGAGTATGTTTCCGCTCAAGCTCAACTTAAACATGAGGCTCGTCTTCATTGAACACAGAACGGAAAACATACATTAATGGCATACATTAATTCTGACCAACTGCCCTGTTTTAAGACTGATGTGAGTCACACAACATCTGAACTTTGCCGGAGTATAACATAGTAACAGAGACATACTTTTTTCTGTTTGAAACTCCGACTTAAACAGTCTATACGTTCATAACTTATTACGGTCTGTACTATATGTGCCAAATGCTGCACGAGTGAGATGCAACCATTTTGTATCTTCACAGTCATGTCTACTTTGGTAAATAATTACTAATTAATAACATCATCATATTCTTGGAAACATTCTTTTGTAAAGCCTTTATGTGAATTAGTAACAGCATATGATTTAATTATTCTGTAATTCATATTTGACTTAATCATCATTACATAATTTATAAAATGACGTTCACTGCCAGCATTTGACAGGGACGACACTTTAAGTACTTATGTTTGAAAATAATACAAGTAAAAGGCTGACCAGGCGGAGATACGCTCTTAAATTCAATTTTGGTAATTGTGCCATCTCTCTAAGACCTCAACAAAACAAAAATGTCACAACCGCTTGTGTTAATATGGCACAAACATTTTGAAAGGGACGATTAACCATTGAAGTCGATGAACGCTGCTGGAAGGCCAAAATTAGTAACGCTATTTACCTGTGCTTGACATTTGGATGACACTGATTTCCCTATTAGTTTCTTTGGACTTCAAGCATGCAAGTTTATTTCAATAGTAATGTTCCATCAAACTTAACTGTAATTTTATTTCTTTGCAAACACGTTTTTTTTTCAACATAGCCTTCTGTTTACTTTGGATACTTCTAAAGGATAAAAATGTTCTTAAAGAAAACTTTAATCAATTTAGATTCAAACATTAAGATAAAGTTTGATAACCTCTTTCATTAATATTTTTTTTTAAATTTAAAAACAAGTTGTTGAAAAAATTCACAGATATACAAATACAATTATTGAAATGAGAAAATATTTAATTAAAGTGTAAAGTGTTAACTCGTTTCTAAAATGTTTTTATTGATAATGGGGAAATTATATATTTAAAGTAACTCTTAAAGTCGACTCCGTATAAATGAAAAGATAAATAACAACTCTACTTTCTTAAAAGGTTTTCGTATAAGGACAAAACACTAATAAATATATCAGAGTTTTATTCAACTTTATTTGTAACAAAATCAAAAGAAGAATACCAACTTGCATTAAACTTTCTTTTTCCTTGAAATTCGTCACGTGTTCGATTAAATATTAGTTCCTCCATACACTCATATGCAACAGGAAATGTGTGTAAATGGAATTTATTTGCAAACAGTTCTCTGCGACTCCTCAGAAACGGCAGATCTTTGTAACTATAGACACACATGCCTCTTACCCATTTTCCACGGCAAGTGAAATGATATATACTAGGCCGCTCTCTATTTTTGAAACGTGCTAGATACGGTTTTCTGCTGTCTTCCATTGCAGTCGTTTCAGGATGACCTGCGCAAAAATAGGTCAAGGGTGTACATATATTTAATAAGCGAACAGAATAATACCGAAAAATAAGACGGTGTATCTGTTCTCTTTTATCACTTCAACGTCGTATTTCAAATAAAATAAGCTGTAATATTAACTCAGAATAATCACGTCAATAATTACGGTATGGTAGAGGGTTATAACTATATCAGTTATTATATTAGATTTGTTCTTCAAGCAGATTTGTCTTTCGTCCCTCACATAATATCTCTACATTGGTTTGATAGAAAGAATCTTGTAAAAACGAAAAACTTCCATTTAACGCATATGGTTGGGGAGTGGGACATAAGTTCAAATTACGAAAATTTTACATTGTCTCAACAAGTTTTCTACATGAGAAATTTAATTGTTTTTTTATTATTATTGAAACTAAATTCGTGCCCAATTGTCCAAATAAGTTTATTATGCAGATGTAAACAAACTGGAAACAAAAACGTCTAGTTGTTTATATATATTATTTTATTTATTACAGAAACATTCCTCTCTTAACGTATGTTAATTTGCATTTATTAATCTTATAGCCAGAACGCAAGAAAAACAAATATTCCCAGAGCATAATTTTAGTGTCGCCATTTTGAATGTCATTGTCATGTGACTAAAACCACGTGAGTTTGGACTAAATTCTGAGATTTGACGAGTGGAATGCAAGCTGTTGTGCAAGAAACTGATAAACGATGTTTCCAATATTGTAAAATAAATTGGAGTATGTTAGATGTTTAACACTTGGAAAATGTAGGGCCTGAATGTGTAGTAAACGTAGCAAAATGTAAACAAAGTCGCATTTTGACTTCCAAACAAATTACTTATTGACTAAAATAATTATACAAATTGCCAACAAAGAAAAGAAAAAAACAACAACAAAGATAGTTAATCTATATGGCTAATGTGTATTTTTTGGAAACTGTGATTAGATACCAAAAAATTAAAAGTTAATAAATATGATAGCATTTCTGTGGCATAATCGGCCTTAATTAATTAAACTTTTCTATTAAGCATCATCTTTTCCTTTCTGTTTGTCTATTTAAAATATCCATTAATAGAAACTAAATAGACTTCAATTTAAAAATAGGACATTGATTAACTTAAGCATTTATCAAAAGCATGTATCTAATACGCAAATGCATATATGTGTAGTACACAATGTAATGCATGTTTTTAAAAGATCATAAATGTCAAACCTTTGTAAGCGCCTGGTACACCTAGATGTGGATTATGATTCAGTGTGGTGAAAAACGCTTCATCCGGTATGTAACATGATTTGTTCATCCATGTCAAAATGTCATGTGCTCTCTGGTCATATATTGCGAACTTGGCAAAACCACGACTTACGGCCACATGCACGGCTCCTTTAGAAACACGTATTCCATGAGGTGCTGATGTTTTGTTTACACATCTATCTGTAAAACTAACAATTAAACAATCAAGTAGTTCGTGAATGTTTCTGTGTTAACTGGAATTTTAGGAAATATTTGCGAATATGAAAATATATTTGTGCTAATTGTACAGACTAACAAAGGGTCACCATGATAAAAAGTTAAAGATTCGAGAAATATACGGCCATCATTCGTAACATATCTTACTTTCAATTTTCTCAGTAATAGTAATCATTTTTACATGAAAATTTGAGAAAATGAAGAAGCGACATATGATAGGTATTACTGTATATTTGCAAAATTGCATGCTTTATGCATAATTTTTAACCGCTGCTGCTGTATTCTGTTTACTTCTTTAGCATATAAAGGTATATAACATGCAGATTAGTTATTCATTTGTAAAAGTACAAAATGCTTACTCTCTTACTGATGTTTCCACATCGTTCGAACCATTATATGCTTGTAGAATTTTAACTAATTCATAATTAGTTTTTAATGGAAATTCCTGCCCTGTCAGATTGATGAAATATTTCCAACGTTTGTTCCGGGTCAACAATTCTTTCATGCACAAAAGTTCCGGCTCTAAAACGGACATTTCTCCCCATTTAACATTAACTCGTTTGTTTAAAACAAACACATTGTCAAAACAATGGCTAATGTTTTTAATTGCTCTATATAGCGTGTCATCTGTTTTAGAGTCAACGTGAATACAGTAAATATTTTGTGGTCTATAAATTGCACGTAAAAGTCTTTCAACTTGGTCTACATCTTTATACATAAGAATACTAAATGCTATTGGAAAGTTCCGTTCCTCTGCTGTCAAATGGTGTGTTATATAGCCTCTGTCAGTGATGAAAGATGAACAGTTCCGAGTATTTTCAATATAGTTTTGAGGGGTAGATACTTTCCTTTCGTTCCGAAATTTGTCGTATAATGTGTCATTCAATGTGACTATACTTTCAAACAGCCTTGAACAGTTAAAAAAGGAAACATTTCTTTTACCCAAGAAATATGCTGTGTTACGTATATAGGTCCGTTGTTTATACTCCTTAATAAACATACCGGAAACATTTCTGGGGGATTCTCTATAATATCCTATGTCATTATTTTCTGTAATTGAAACCCCTAACAATCTGAATGACGTAGTACTGATGAATGTTTTATTTAATGTTTGTTGAGTCATTATAAAGAAAGAAAATTTCGAAAGGTAAAGATAAAATATAAAGAAAATAGTAATAATGGTTATTACAAATGTTCGACAATCGACAAATATTTTTGAACTCATTTTGTTTCAGTGCCAACACTATCTGTTTCTAGTAATGCACCTTTACTCTACTGTGGTCGAATGTTTCACTTTTGCGTGAAGTAACGTTGGTACGTGTATTCACTGCGCTGCTAAGAGGGCGTAATGCTTATTATATTGGTAGTATTCGTTAGTTAAAATTAGTTATAAAATATTTTAGTCGTTTATGCTTTTGTTGGAAATATTGTTATAATCCTTTCCATACTTAACGCAAACATGAATAATTGATGATGTTACGTCCAAGTTTTAAAGCACGTAAAACAATGACGTATAAAACTTATGACAATCCTCTATAAATAAATGAAGGAGAATGTTTAAATTCAAATGTATCCACTTTATCCATTTTTGAATGATTACACAAACATACAGTATGTATGATATCGTGAAATTATTTTCCATCAATTTTTTTTTGTCAAACTTTAGATTACAGTTACTATTTTTAATGACGTTGATAATACCTTATAGAACATGGTATAGTTGTGATAATCAATCCGACATTTTTTACCTTTCGCTATAATATAAAGTGTTCAGTTTGTTTAATTTAAAGGTTTTATCTTATACCTTTGACACACTTTTGGAAAAAGGTAAGCTTTTGTTTGTGAGATTGTTATTTTATAGGATAGTTTATCTTCATGTACGAACGTTACTAAACTAAACAAGTTTTATCAGTCAGTAACCTAAAAAGTGACCAAGTCAACGTATAGAGACACCGGTGATATCATTGCTTCACTAGATACAGTTCAAGTCAGTTTAAATCAGTTTGTGTTTGTATAAATAAGTTGTTTAAGAAATGTATGATGTTTTATTTAAGAATATATATTAAATGATGAGTGTGATGGTCCAGAATTAGAAACAGACAAAGACAAGCCCACTTAAAATATTTAGGTCTAATAAGGTTTTTTGTTGTTGTTGTTGTTCTTTTTTTTTTTTTTTTTTTTTTTTTTTTTTTTTTTTTTTTACTTTTTTTTCTTCTTTTTTACAGAATATGTAAAAATATTTTTCGTCGACTTAAAAATCAAGCATTCTATAGTTTTTTGAACATTTTTAACAGAATTGTTGTAAATCTAACTCTAACTTAAGTTCGTATACGAATTTTAACATGCAAATGAAGACTAGCATAATTCTAGTAATAAGTAGGGTTTCATCCGTCTTGTAATGATTTTGCGCATGCGCCACTCGCTTTAAAGCAATTTATTACCATATTTATTTCATACAAGCATTTTGGCAGTATTTAAAATCAAAACAATAATTTTTGTATCACATATATAGCTTTATACACTCTAACTGTTGTTGGAAAAACAATTCTATGTTGTTTTAAACTAAGTATTTCAGTAATTTTATGTTGAAAAAGTGCATCATTACCCTGTTAACCCATTACTTCATGAGCATTTTGTGAAAAATGGCTGTTTTCATTGAAAAGTCTCCCGTTACAAGTTCAAATTGCTATAATACTATAAAAACTGCTTCAACACTAATCAAACTTGGCACAAATGTTGACTGGACCATTGCCCTTGCAACAACATGCTCATGCTTAAATTTCTGTTACCATGGCAACGAGGGGACATCTCAAAATTGCCAAAAATCACTATTTTGCGTTGATTTTTTTCCATTATAATTGATTTCAAAGTGCTGCAACTTCTCAATGGATTGAGATAGAGTCAAATGCTTTTCAGCGTTCGTTACACGTTACCTTATGATCAATCTGGGGTCATTTATAGCCTCTCACAAGTCCAAAATTTTCTTGGCGATGAGGGGGACTCCGCCCCCCTTCAAACCCCCCAAACAGAAGGGGCAACATCCCCCTTCTGGCAACCCCCTGATGTATCTTCTGGTTTTTGGCCGCGCCGATAAAGTGGTCACTTATTTTAGCAACATTTCTCAAACAAAAACAAGTGTTAAGGGCCTAAATAATGCATTTTTTCACAATTTTAGAAAACAGAAAGGGTGGTGAAAAAGGTGTTAAAAGGCGTGTATATTAAGTAATGGGTTAAGCCTTCTTATTTTAATTATATCATCAAAACTACGCCCGAAAGCTATTTACATATAGAGAAGGGACCGGTGGACTAGAAGGGATGTCCTTATTGTTTATGTATTTTTTTTCGACGGCTTATTTCATTTTCACCTTGATTATTTGATTTGACAATTATTTGAAGCGATTTATCTAAAATCAGCCTTTAGAAAAGCCAAATGCCTTTTTAAGGTACTTCACTGAGATTGGACTGAAAGGAAATAATGTTTAGGGGTCTGTGAACTACTTGATGCAGGTATGGAAATGAACTTATGAGCAAAATTTCAAGTCACTAGCGCTCACTTATCTTTTCAAGAATAATCAATTTTATTCAAGATATTGAGCAAAATGATGCAAACTTGAAAGACGTTTAAACGCTTTTAACCGAAATTGGGCTTAAAATGCATTTTTTCCAAGTACTCATATTGGTCTATGTAAGAATTCTAAATTTGAACACAAATCCGGTTAAAATTTGTATTTTTCTTTCCAATTTTTGTGCCCCAGGTAATCTACGTAAGAATTTAAATTTTATGTTTCAGAATCTCAGTGAAAATCTTTTAAAATCAATGCAAACACACACATTTCATGTTGTCTTGGATCTCGTATTTTAGTCAAAACGTGTTAATCAAGTCTATGTTAAAACATAAAATATGAAATGGTGTTTGTGTAAAGACGATTTCAGATTTTGTCCAGAAGTTTTCCCAAATTAAATATTGCCCAAAGAAACAAAAGCACGAAAGTTGAACAATTTACAGTTCATGACCATTATACAGTAAAATGTATAAATGGAGTAAGACCTTCGTCTGATAACATGGTATATCTTACCTCTCATTCTGCTCCACCCATGCAATAAGTGTAGACCGACCAGTTGTTTTCTTCTATATATGACGAATGGTCTGATGGAAGAATCCATTAAAAACTTATAACATGGTTAAATTTCACAATTATATCTGGTCAAAGATAGGAAATAAGTTTCACCTAGTTACATTTATTTTCAGGCGTCAACGTTTAAGAACAAGAAACAAAGATTACTGTTAAATACTGTCCCATTTATAGCATTCTTGAGACAACGCGTAATAATACTCTTAGATTTGATTGATCGGGTGTAAAATCTTCAGGAAACCATTGGCTGAGTAATACAAAATGATTAATAACGGATCAGTCTTTTCACCGTGGCAATTGATGTTATGTTGACTAAAGGAATCATTCTATGCCTTCAGTTCTGAACTAATGAATAAATAATAAAATGGAGTATTTTCTAGTCTGTCAATAAAACTATGTGTGGTATAGAAAGCGTAAGTCATTACTTTGAAATACATTTTTTGTACAGTCTATGGGAAAAAAGATAAAAATATTAATTATTTAAATCTATATTTTAACATTGAATGTTTTAATGATAGATTAAATTTCCTAATCCTTCGTACATATACATTTATTCAGCAAATATCATTTTAATGTTAATAACTTGCAGGAGTAATAATTTATATAATAAGCCAGCAAAACTCATATATGTAAATGCTTTACATCTAAATACCATGTAGTTTGAATGAAAGTTATAAAATGCGTCATATTGAAAAAAGTATTTCATTAAACAGACAAAAGACATGTACACTTAACTTTAATTTTTGTGTCCCCTCTACGGAGTAGTGGTGCAGTTTTATCCAAACTTTACAAGAATGATCAGTACCAAGTCTAGTTTTACTCCGTCTGTCTGTCTGTCTGTCTGTCTGTCACAAAACTTGTCCCAACATGAAATTGGTCATCATGAGGCGACACATGTGATCACTGATCGCTCTTGTTAAAAAAAATCATGGATTTGGTAATTCAATCGACTTAAAAAATATCTAAAACTCCATTCAAATAAAAGGAGGTATTTCAATTTTCCAATATGTACATAATGATTTAATGCCTACGTGATTTTGTATTTCCCATGTTACGTCTCCTAAATAGCTTAGTGCTGGAGAAACTAATAAATAACACGGACAATATGGAGGATGGAGCGAGTCGGACCATACACATTTTGTTGTAATATATGACCAGTATACGTACGATCTAGCCAACCGAAGGATGTTGATATTTGACCGAATAAAACGTCAAGTACCCGGAAAAACTAGGGCCGATATTGTGAGTATACTAAGAAGTTAGAGCTTTGGTCTTTTTTCCCTAAATTGTAAAGAATTTTTTAATCACTTAAAGACAAGGCAGATTTTTCTTGAAAAATGAAAAACAGCAGCTTTTCCTTCTATCTGGTGTGTGTAATATTTTATTCCTGACAGGGGTATAATTGCTGCATCAGATTACACTTATATATTACTGAATAAGGTATGTATGACATTTAACTCTTAATGCAATCGTTACGCCATTCCCCATAACTCTTAATGTTAAAGCAGCTTTAAACAGTAATATCATATAATGAAAATTAAAGACTGTATAATTATTTCATTTTGTATGGCTATAGAGCTATATTGAAATAGTTTTTTTGCAAAATAAAAGGAACTTTTAACATATATGAAGAATAAAACATTCCCTAACGAGTAAAATATTCAACTAGTATCTATTATGTCCTTTTCATGTAGACACATCGGTATGCGGTACCAGTATAAAACCTATATAAGCTAACGGTTAACAAATGATTGTCATAAAGCACCGTCTCGTAGAGCGCTGGACTGGGAATCGGGCGATCCGGGTTCGATTCCCGGACGGTACAGGTCACTTTCGATGTGATAGATCTAAAGTCATTGGCACTGTACCTCTATCGTGGCATATATAATCAGAAGTTATCGGTTCCTTGTCGTCCGGTTAGCTGAATAGGTAGAACGTTGGACTGTAAATCGGGCGACCCGGGTTCGCTTCCCGGACGGTGTAGGTCACATTCGTTGTGATTGATCATAAAATCCTTTCTAAAGTTATCCACACTGTACCTCTTTGTAGCATATACAGACGTTATCAGTTCATTGTGAAAGTGAAGGCAACTAGTAGTGTTAAACTGCTTGAGAACCTGTCCAGTAACGATGCGATGGCTGAAATGTGCTCTGGTAAATTCAATGTGGCTTCCTGCAGTGATCCGAATCGAACACTACCGTCACCACAATGAGTGTCATTATATGCTCATCCATATAAAGTACCGTACATATACGTACGGTACTTTATATTGATGTGAGATGTGTTGAAATATGACAACCTCATTTAAAATTAATGTGAAATAGGTATCATTAGATCCAAGGAAACAACAACTGTCAAGGAACAAACGTTAATTAAAAATAAGTCTTTCCGTTAACAGCTTGTAAATATTGATCAGATTTATTGCCAAAGCAATCTACACATATAAACAAAATCAAAATGCGACTTTCTGAAATATAAACATGTGAGTTGACCAATATTATCACAAGATGTTAAATAGTGTATAAGTACAAAGAGAGAAAATATACTTTTCTAATGGCTAATATCGTAATTACATAAAGTTGTGGTATTAAATAACATTATAAATCAAGGGTCTCGACTGTTAGGTTAAACAAAATAAAATAAATCCTATGTAGTACAGAAAGTTGAATTGGTGTATAATTACCACAAAGCTGATTTATTTAAACCTCGGACACAGAATACACACAGAATACAAAATATTTATGTCCCAGTTTAAACGGATGAATATTGTAACATGCAATACAAATGATTTAAGCATATCAATATGCGCCTTATATGGCTTAATTTATTTGCTCATTTATCAATAATTTGAGTACTCCTTGTGTCTTTCTTCATCATCACTGCTGCTTTCTTCTTCTTTTTCAGTATAATTATTATCAAACGTTTCATCAAGTTCGAAGAAAGGGTATGTCCACAACTTTAACATTCATTTTCTCTTTATCAGCATATTGTCTTGCCTCGCCTCTCTCGAATTCGTCTTCCTGTCTCCGCCCTCTTACAGTTCTCATAGTCTTTTCTCCGCAGTGCACACAGTTTTTTCTAAATATAAAGTCCACATATACTTCTCGAACCTGTTAATTTTTAATACAAAGATTGTAATTTGTTAAAGGTTTTATTCCTATTTCTTTAAGACAGCTATCAGGATTTTCATCGCAGTAATTACTAGACGTTTGATTTAGCACTTCGCACCGTACCCACCCCTCACCACCCCATGTCCACCCCTCACCGCCCCTCCATTTTACATTGGAGAGATTAGTAAAGTGTCCCATATGCCAATCTTCTCCTTTCTTGGGGTTATCAGATTTATTTCATCAATATCATCGTCCTTTATCGGAAATGTCAGACGTTGCATCATAATGATTACCAGCATGTGATTTAGATTTGGTTTTCAATATAACGAATACGTCCCTATATAAGGTTTGCGTGTTGGATCTTCTTCTGATGAATTCAGATTGAATGTCCATATGAATTCTCTATAGCAGTGAAAGCATGTGTTCACCAATATCTAAAGTGATTAAATGACAAACTAACGATTTTTCTTCTTTTCATAACCTTTCCCCCTCCAACTTGAATTACTCATTTTACTTGCTCATTTGCTGATTTACTCATTTTGCTCGCTCAATTTTCTCATTTTTGCTTTCTCATTTGCTCATTTTGCTTTCTCATTCTGCTTGGTTATTGGCTCATTAATATACTAGAACTACTAAACTTTTGATGACAACTGCTTTTATTGTGGCCCTTCATTTTTTATGATGATCATATTTAGAATATTAAAATAAAGAAAATATTAAGAATACCAGTAGATAAATGTATTTTATTATGTAATAGAATGAAATTTTTTATGTCAACAAACTGGGCAAACACTGAATTTGGAAGTAAAACTGTTTGTGTTGGAGAAATGAGAGTAACACTTTCAAAATTATGGATCTGTTATTTCAGTAAAACAAATATGTTAATTTTTCTTTCAATGTTCTAAAGAAACACATTAAAGAAACATTCGGTCATATAAAAAATGTTATTATGATTCACGTATGATACTGTTTCTTTTGTCTGTTGATCAGGTGTGTGTCACAATTTCTATTGTTATAATGCACTATTGCGTCATTATGTTACACAATTGATTGCCCCGGGTGGATAAATGACATATGGAAAAGGACACAGTAAACCGCAACTGGTTAGCAAATGTAAAGTTTTCTATTCTTTCTTAATATTAACATGACTTTTTATTAACAATTCCTATTGACAAATTAAATATAGAAAAAATGTCTGATTTTCTATTCACAAAATTGATATATTACGTCAATTATATAAATAAAATAAAATTTCCTATATTCTATTGAAAGATGAAACATCATTGACATGTCCTATATTCTATTCATAAATTTGACATGTCCTATTTTCTATTCACAAATTTGACATGTCCTATTTTCTATTCATTAAGACATGTCCTATTGTCTATTCATAAATTTGACATGTCATATTGTCTATTCATAAATTTGACATGTCCTATTTCAATTTCATAAATTTGACATGTCATATTTTCTATTCATAAATTTGATATGTCCTATTTTCTATTCATTAAGACATGTCCTATTGTCTATTCATAAATTTGACATGTCCTATTTTCTATTCATAAATTTGACATGTCATATTTTCTATTCATAAATTTGACATGTCCTATTTTCTATTCACAAATTTGACATGTCCTATTTTCTATTCATAAAGACATGTCCTATTTTCTATTCATAAATTTGACATGTCCTATTTCAATTTCATAAATTTGGTTTTAATTTGCATTGAAGCTGGAAACCCCACCCCCACCCCTCAATTCACCAAGTAAAAAATGTGTGCGTACTCTTGCAAAATATATTATAAAAGTGTAATGTTACGACAAACTGTTTCTTAAAAACTACCTGTTTGTATCAATTTTTTTAGGAAAGGAAATTCTGTTAAGATTTCAATCATTTAAATTGATTGTGATACCTCCTCAGCAAAAATTAAACTTAATTTCTTCTATTCGAATTACAAACATTATGCTAAGGGCTAGATTCCACAATAATACGAATACAATTTTAAAATAAGAATGTATTTAAAAACTCCATAACCTCCGTGATTTTCCACTTGTTAGGTTGACTATATAAATAACTTTTTTTAAAACTATGACCCGAAATAAGTGATTTCCGTAAATAAGGCCTTTTTTGTTACAAGTCTCGGCGTTTTGAATCAATTTTATTTGTAACAAAATCAAGAGAAGAATACCAGCTTGCATTAAACGTTCTTTTTCCTTTAAATTCGCCACGTGTTCGATTAAAAATCAACTCTTCCATACACCCATATGCAACAGGAAATGTATGCAAATATAATTTATTTGCAAACAGCTCTCTACGACTTTTTAGAACCGGTAAATCTCTATAACCATAAACACACATTCTTCTCACCCATTTACCGCGACATGCAGAGTGATGTATACCCATCCGTCGTCTATTTTTATACCGCGCTAGATACGGTTTACTGCTGTTTGCCATCACAGTTGTTTCGGGGTGACCTGCATAGAAATAATTAAATGCTGTACATTCATTTACTAAGTGAACATAATTATTCCAAGTTAAAAAGTTTTGTCGCTGACAATTATATACAATAATTTGCTGCTTTTTATAAGAAAAGATGTTGTGGTAATCAAACCACTTCACAATGACGTTTTAAAACATCATGTAAGCCCCCGTGTATGTTGTGTCCCAGGATAACATATCATCACATGATATACATGTCACATATTCATTTGTAAGATCGTAATATTACATTTTGTAAATGATTGCTACAGTTCTGTCGGTAGAACTAAGATGTGCTCACATTTTCGCTGACAAATTAGCAGGGTTGCATGTGTCAATGATATTAAATAATTATGGGAGAATGTTTTTACACACTTTCAACATAGATTGATATTGGTATAGTGAGTGCTTTTCTTATTATTTTTTTTATTTTTATTTTTAATTTTGTTTCGACTACACAGATATATAAAGTATAAATTATCTATTTATTCTTAATATTGACAATTTTCATACTTAATTCAATTCAAACTAACATATTCATGAACTCATGCATTGTCTAAACTGAAAATGCAGTTTTTATACAAGAAAAATATAATGAAAAATGCGTCATAAAAATATCATAAATGTCAAACCTTTGTAAGCGCCTGGTACACCTAGATGTGGATTATGATTCAGTGTGGTGAAAAACGCTTCATCCGGTATGTGACATGATTTGTTCATCCATGTTATTGATTTTTGTAAGTCTACAGATGTTCACATAGCCAATGGTAGATTGGGTAAAGATGCTTACATTGGTGAAACAACATGCAAGGGTGTTAGTGTAATCGACTATGTCTTACTTTCACCAGAACTATTTCCTCATGTTAAATGCTTTGAAATTTTACCATTTGACCCGTTATTGTCTGATGTACATTGTGCAGTGTCTTTGCATTAGATTCTGGTATAAATCAGACTGTGTCTTGTACATTGGATAGTGATCGGTCACGTGATACTGTAAATGATGTAGTTAAACCATTTTGGAATTCTGAAAGTTCAGATGAGTTTCTGAATTGTATTGATTGTGAAACTGTTAATATTATTTGTTCATCAATTGCTACCCATAGTAGTGAAGGTACATGTACACTTGACTTTATTAACAAAGTCACAATTGAAACTGGTGAGATACTTACTTCTGCTGCTGAAAAAATGTAATTTAGTAAAAATTGTACAGAGAAAGGCTAACTCCTCAAAAAAAGTCTAATAATCAGTGGTTTGACTTAGAATGTAGGGATAGTCAGAAGGAGTATTATCTTTCTAAGCGTAATTACAGATCTTTTCGCACGCAAGATAACTTATTAAATCTGAAAACTTGTAGTAAGAAGTACAAGAAATTATTAAATACTAAACTTAGGAATTACCAAGAAAGTATTGTTAAAAAATTAAAAAGTCTAAGATGTACAAAACCAAAGGAGTACTGGTGTCTTCTCAATAAATATTCGGGAGAACGGAAAGAGGTAATGAACAAGGTTTCGTTAGAAGCATTTCATGATCATTTTCGTAATATAAATAGTGATGATGATTCTGAAGATTTATTTACAGCATTTGATATTGAATCAGTTTCAGAATTTAATGATATATTAAATCGCCCATTTACTACTTTAGAAATTGACAAAGTTATTAAAACTTTAAAAAATAACAAAGCATGTTCACCTAAAGATAATATACTGAATGAGTATATAAAATACTCAAAAGATTTGTTATTACCATTGTATTGCAGCTTATTTAATCTTGTACTTGAAACAGGAATTGTTCCAGATACATGGTGTACGGGTATAATTTTACCTATTTATAAAAACAAAGGGGACGAAAATAATGCTGATAATTATAGAGGTATAACCATTTTAAGTTGTCTTGGTAAATTGTTCACATCAGTTTTTAAATTCTAGAATAAATATTTTTTTGGAAGAGTCTGGCCTATTAATTGAGGAGCAGGCAGGGTTTCGTAATGGTTATGGAACTACGGATCATATTTTTTCCTTAAAAATGTTGATTGATATTTACTTATCGAAGAAAAAGAGATTGTACTGCTCTTTTATTGATTACAAGAAAGCATTTGATAGTATAAACCGTACTGCTCTCTGGAGGAAATTGTTAGCACATAATATTGATGGGAAAATACTTAAAGTTATTCATAATATCTATGACAAAGCTAAGTCTTGTGTTAAAGTGAATAATGCATTGTCAGATACATTTGTAAGCTGTTTAGGTGTCCGTCAGGGAGAAAATCTTTCTCCAATTTTGTTTTCAATTTTCCTTAATGATTTGGTTTCTTATATGTCTACATATTGTGAAGGGTTGCAGTTTTTATCAGACCAGATAAATGAACAGCTAAGTAATGATGAAGTTGATGTATTCTTGAAGTTGTACTTATTACTCTATGCTGATGATACAGTTGTTTTCGCGGAAAGTCAAACTGGCCTTCAAACAGCACTAAACTGCATGCTTGATTATTGTAAATTATGGCATTTGACTGTTAATACCGATAAGACAAAAGTTGTTGTATTTTCTCGTGGTAAATTAAGAAATAAGCCTGTATTTTATTTCAATAATGCACCTCTAGAAGCTGTAGATGATTTTAGTTATTTAGGTGTGATATTCAACTTTAATGGTAAATTTAATAAAACAAAAAAGCACTTGACAGATCAAGCGAGGAAGGCTATGTTTAGTATTTTAACTAAAATTAAGAAATTGTGTTTGCCAATTGATATTCAGTTACAGTTGTTTGATAGTATGGTTAAGCCAATATTATTGTATGGGTCGGAGGTGTGGGGATCTGAAAATAATTCTATTATTTCTCAGTTTCAATTGAAATTTTATAAATATATACTTAAACTTAAGATGTCAACTCCTTCGGTTATGGTCTTGGGAGAACTAGGTGCATTTCCTATTGAAAATGATATTACTTGCAGAATGTTAAATTTTTGGAGTAAATTAGTTAATGGTAAAAATGATAAAATATGTGCTTCTTTGTACCGCACTATGTATAATCTTCATGAAAAGGGTATTTTACATTGTCAGTGGATCGAGAAAGTAAAAATCTACTTTGAATAATCTTGGTTGTTCTGATTTTTGGATAACTCAGAATGTTGCAAATTTTAATAATTTTAAATATGTAATAAAATCACGATTACGTGATCAGTTTTTACAAGTATGGAATAGTGATGTTTTTGATTCTGCTAAGTGTTTAAACTATAGAATATATAAAACTCAATTTAAATTAGAACATTATTTACTATGTTTACCAAGAAATTTAGCAATTGCTCTCTGTAAATTTAGATGTCTCAATTCTAATATTCCTATAGAGAAAGGTCGCTATTTTGGTATTGAAAGAGAAAATAGAACATGCTCACTTTGTAATCAGCAAGAAATAGGTGATGAATTTCATTATATTTTTAAATGTACTTATTTTAATCATGAAAGACACAGGTATATCAGTAACTATTATTCAAGGTTTCCTAGTATTTTAAATTTTCAGGCTCTTATGTGTAGCGACAACAGAAATACTTTATTTAATCTAGCCATTTTTGTCAAAGCTATAATGCTGAAATTTCAATAAGTCATCTTCCTTATTTACTTATTTACTTCATGCCATGTTTGTATTATTATTTTTTGTTTTGTTGATTGTTCACTCTTATGCCCTTAAGGGCCATGAGTTTTGTTTATAAATAAAAAAAAAAAAAAAAAAAGTCAAAATGTCACGTGCTCTTTGGTCATATATTGCGTACTCGACAAATCCACGACTTACGGCCACATGCACGGCTCCTTTAGTAACATGTATTCCATGAGGTGCTAATGTTTTGTTGTTACATCTACGTGTAAATCTGCCAATAAAATATCAAATACTAAATGACACTCTGCTAACTGGCATTTGTTGAAAGAAAATACAGATTTGACTTTATACTACATTATGTATTTTTGATTTTGCTGAACTGCATAAAGCAAAAATAAACGGTGCGCTAAAATACATACTGTATAGTAGTGCATGTTTTTTTGTATTTTGGAGAAACTTATTATCGACTGTAAATAATATCTTATAAAAATGTAAATATATAACATAACCATTTGCCTAAGCTATATCTCAAGTGACATTAAGCCCATCCAAGGGTACATGTATATAGTGCATAAACAGGTGAAAGTTAAAATAAAAATATATTTTGCCATTTATAAATCCATTAAATTTTATCACTTACTTCGCTTGAACGCTAACAATACTCATGTAACCAAATGACTTTGTGTAAATTTTCACTGGTATTTACCTTTAATATTCTTTTTTAAAAAAAGAGTGGCTTTGGCAGATTTATATCTTATCGTAAACATTTTCAAATATCAATTGTTGTTAGTGGTCATGAGAACAAGCAATCTTGTACAATATGTAGTCAATTCAGCTAAACTTAACAAAGAAAGCATGAGCATAATGTCACTCTAACATGCTCAAATTTGGTACACAATTCTTACTCTGTTACTGATGATTCCACATCGTTCGAACCATTATATGCTTGTAGAATTTTAACTAATTCATAATTAGTCTTTAATGGAAATTCCTGCCCTGTCAGATTGATGAAATATTTCCAACGTTTGTTCCGAGTCAACAATTCTTTCATACACAAAAGTTCCGGCTCTAAAACGGACATTTCTCCCCATGTAACATTTACTCGTTTGTTTAAAACAAACACATTGTCAAAACAATGGCTTATATTTTGAATTGCTCTATATAATGCGTCATCTGTCTTAGAGTCAACGTGAATACAGTAAATATTTTGTGGTCTATAAATTGTACGTAAAAGTCTTTCAACTTGGTCTACATCTTTATACATAAGAATACTAAATGCTATTGGAAAGTTCCGTTCCTCTGCTGTCAAATGGTGTGTTATATAGCCTCTGTCAGTGATGAAAGATGAACAGTTCCGAGTACTTTCCATGTAGTTTTGAGGGGTCATTATTGGTGTTTTGTTTAAAAATCTTAGGTACAATGAGCCATCCAATGTGGTTATGCTTTTAAACAGTCTAAAACAATTAAAAACAGGAATATTTCTACTGCGGCCGAAGTATGTTTGATTTATTAATTTTCTTTGCCTTTTCGGCACCTTAGTTTGTGTTTGAATTATACCAGATACTTTACTCAAAGATGTTCTATCTGAAATTTTCATCATTCTAAATGACGTAGTAGCTTTGTATGTTCCGAAATTAAAAAAGTAAGTAAAATTTAGAATGTAAAGTGAATATGGAATGCAAATCATAAAAAGAATTATAGTACATTTACGACAATCAAAATATATTTTTGATCTCATTGTGTTTTAATTCCGCCTCGTATATTTTGTTCTTTGAATGACAGTTTGTGTTGGTTTTTTTGTTGTTGTTTTTTTCGATAAATATCAACGTTTGTGTCTGTTCTGCAAAAGCCAAAGTATGTCGAAATTGATTATAAAAAAATTCTGTCATTAATATCACTGGTGTTGTTACTTTTCTTTCTGTATTCTTTTCTATCCTAGTTCAACCGATTGTGTACCTGCGTGTCATTTCTAGATTTTTTTCCATCTTTTGCTGTTGCTGTTGTTGTTTTTATTGTTTTTGTTTTTTCATGTACATATTACATGCACATTATAATTATCTTATGTACAACAATACACACAACTAAAGATTATGCTCAATAAACTTCTGAAATGCACAATTTATTGTCAGATTCATAGTATTAGTTTCACTTCAAATAATTTAATGGTAAAAGTTACACTTAAAAACTCCTTATGTATGACCATTCCCTGTAACTATGTAAAAGTGAAGGTCATATACCGACATTGAACTTTTTATATACCAACACGTTAAGTGTATCACATATCAACACGTTAAGTGTATCAGATATCAACACGTGAACTGTATCATATATCAACACGTGAACTGTATCATATATCAACACGTGATCTGTATCACATATCAACACGTGAACTGTATCATATACCAACACGTTAAGTGTATCACATATCAGCACGTGACCTGTATCAGATATCAACACGTGATCTGTATCATATATCAACACGTGAACTGTATCATATATCAACACGTGAACTGTATTATATATCAGCACGTAAACTTTATCATATATCAGCACGTGAATTGTATCATATATCAACACGTGAACTGCATGATATCAACACATGAACTGTATCATTATATCAACACGTGAACTGTATTATATATCACGTGAACTGTAATATATAAATAATATTTACACTGTACATGTATCATATATCAACACGTTGGCTGTATCTTTTATCAACACGTGAACTGTATCCTATATTAACAGTAAATATTATCATATACCAACACTTGAACCTTATCCAATTACAAATAATTACACATATATCCATCCTTAAATCTTTTCTCCATCTAGATATGCTTTAAATTAATACTTCATACTGTAACTGACGTTATATAACAATTACATGACAGCGTTTCAAAATAAATCGACCTCTGGCGATAATATAAATGTTTATACAAGTTTGGATTAAAGACTTTATTTCAGTGGTCAATGTTTATAAGTCGTTAAAGCATAAATATTTACATACACAAGCATAATACTTTTCTATGCAGTAGTTAATCAGCTTGATTTGAAAACACGAGATTAGTTAGATTTACTGTTCGACGCATCACACTAGTCTGCGCTTTAACTGCGTTTGCACGGCGTTGTTAAGTTTAACAATATTTCACAAAGCGCCGCAAGAAATAAGAATGTGATATTTTTGATATCATGTAGACTTCAATGCGTCTTCACGGCGATCTCACGGCGATCTCATGGCGATCATGGTGATGCTACTGAGTTTCCACAGCGTTTTAATTGGCGATTGTTTGCGCTTCTACTGCGTTCTTTGCGTTTCTGCTGCATTTTTACAGAGCTCACGCGGCGCTCTCATGACGCTCACACTACTCAGAAATCGTAAAACTTCGTAAAAGTGCCTGCGCAGTATAAGCGCGGTAGAGACGCCGCACAATCTCCGTACAAGCGCCGTGGATAATCACAGCGTTCACTTGGCGTTCCTTTCACACTTTTACGGCCCTGCTGTTGTGTTGCATATAGATGCTACTGCGTTGCTACGGCGTCCTTACTGCGATCTCACTGACCTCTTATCAGAACGCCGAATGACGGCTTTTCTTTTGAGCATGTGACTTGAACCCGAAATCCGTAAAACAGTGGTTTTATTTACTTATCCTTCAAACGCTCGGCTGGCTGCCTTAATGATTGTCTCATAATTGCTTTATCATACCAAGATATTTGTATTCTGTAACTTTATGAAAATTAAAGAATGTATAACTTACTTACAACATAAAAATTGAATTCTGTTTTTAGTAAACAGAATTCTGTTTTCAGTTCTATTTGAAAACATTTTGATTTCTCGGTATTTATCAAGACGCGCCATTTCTTACGCCATTCGTAAAGTGTCTTTAACATTAATTAAAAGTCGAAATATAAAAAATAAATATAAAAAAAACACATACACACAAAAGAACATATATCAATCAAAAAAAATATAACATGTAAAAAGAAAGGATTAAATGGTTATCACAATTTTAACATATATTAACACATATACTGAACATTCATACAATTCATTTTATTTATCATTGAACATAATACTTTCATCAGTGCATCATATTAATCTGCAATTTAAAAAGTAAAATTAACTTACAAAATTAAAAAAATTAACACAGTCAAAAAAATAAATAAACAAGAGCCATGTCAACATGGCCATCCCCCACCAAATGTGTTTGCTCATTGGAAGAATTTATATGTAGTAGAACAGAATAATTATATTTTAAGAGGTCTTTTGGCAATGAAAACTGATGGCTATAGTGAATACAGATTTGAAACCTATGTGAATACTGATGAATGAAAATAACAAAGGGCAATAACTGAAAAATAATGCAGGGTAGGTTATCATTCTTGTGTGCTGCATCCCTCCTCAGAAAAATCTATCAACCTATGAAGTTTCAAGTTGATACCTCAAATACTTTTTGAGTAAAAAATTGAATTGAAAAATTAAGTATGAAAAATAACAAAGGGCAATAACTCAAAAATTATAAAAGATAGAGTTATCATTCTTGTGCAGTTCACACCTCCTGAGTGAGATCTATGCACCTATGAAGTTTCATTTTGATATCTCAAAGGCTTTTTGAGTTATGCTCCGGACAAAAATTAATTTTGAAAAATAACAAAGGGCAATAACTCAAAAATAATGCAGGGTAGAGTTATCATTATTAAGCACTGCATTCCTCCTCAATGAGATCCATCCACCTTTGAAGTTTCAAGTTGATACCTCAAATACTTTTTGAGATAAGCTCTGGACAAAATAGCATAAAAAACAAAGGGCAATTACTCAAAAATTGTATAGGGTAGAGTTATCATTCTTGCGCACAACATTCCTCCTCAATAAGATCTATCCACCTATGACATTTCATGTTGATCTCTCAAACACTTTTGAGTTATGCTCCACTCAGGTGAAAAATAAGGTATGAAAAATAACAAAGGGCAATAACTCAAAAATTATGAAAGGTAGAGTTATCATTCATGTGCACTGCACACCTCCTGAGTGAGATCTATGCACCTATGAAGTTTCATGTTAATATCTCATAGGCTTTTGGAGTTATGCTCTGGACAAAAATCAATTTTGAAAAATAACAAAGGGCAGTAACTCAAAAATCATGCAAGGTAGAGTAATCATTCTTGTGCACTGCACTCCTCCTCACTGAGGTCTATCCACATATAACATTCCTCCTCAATAAGATCTATCCACCTATGACATTTCATGTTGATCTCTCAAACACTTTTTGAGTTATACTCCACTCAGGTGAAAAATTAGGTATGAAAAATAACAAAGGGCAATAACTCAAAAATTATGAAAGGTAGCGTTATCATTCATGTGCACCGCACACCTCCTGAGTGAGATCTATGCACCTATGAAGTTTCATGTTAAAATCTCATAGGCTTTTGGAGTTATGCTCTGGACAAAAATCAATTTTGAAAAATAACAAAGGGCAATAACTCAAAAATAATGCAAGGTAGAGTTATCATTCTTGTGCACTGCACTCCTCCTCAATGAGGTCTATCCACCTATGAAGTTTCAAGTTGATAACTCAAATACTTTTAGAGATATGCTCCGAACAAAAATGTCGGACGGAAGGACGGACGGACGGACGGAAGGTCGGACGGACGGAGACTATTTCTATATCCACCGCCGAAAATTTTCGGCAGGGGATAATAAAAACTTGAAACTAAGACAGACACCCATTATAAGAAAACATAATAATAAAAAACACATGTGTGAATATAAAGAGCGTATCCTGCCGACATACGGATCGTGCTAAAGTTGATTTAATAAGTATTTCTTGAAACTTTTTTTAAGTATTGACAATTTTGTTTTTCTTCTTATAGTCAGTGGTATGGAATTCCAAATAATAATGGCATTAAATGTAGTTTGTTTTCCTTTCGATTGTACATGTATATTGTTAACCTACACGTGTAACGGTAATCTTTAGTAAAGATTTTTGATAAGTATAATTGCCTTTCTCCAGTCGCTAGGAATAAAACTCGTGTCGAAAATTTTGGGACTGCATAAGGTATGCCATTAATACCGCAGGCTGATTTCATTACAATATTAGCAATTTCTTCGATGAATATATTATGATTATTCGGCGGTTCATTTGGGGCGTTAAGCAGGTCAGCAATGGACATTTCACGATTGAAGAATTCAGAATCAAACGCCTCACTTCCGGTGCTATTGTACAAGTTGTTCATTTGTCAAAAACTGTGTTTTCATCCGTATCAATGCTCCCTTGTTCATTTACTATTCCCAATGGTATCAAAAGGTCTCGCGTTGGACCGATGTGTTCAATTTTATTCCAGAACTCATTTAGGTTTGAAGTTGATATAAACTCGATAATTCTGAAATCACTCTCTGTTTTTCGTAAACGTTTACTTAGTTATTTCACGCTGCTAGATATTATAATCATTTAACCGTTTTTATGTGCATTGTGCCATTACACTTCAGAAAATTATTTTCAGCTAAGCACATATGGTTGATTCCATTTCTCGGTCAAAGTTTCGTTCCAGTACAAATTAGCATTTTTGTTAGCGTGATGCATTATAACGTGGGATACTGTGATTCATTTCATTCAGAATTGTTCAAACAACTTGTAATATATTGTGTGCATTTCATCTTGACTTTAACGTAATGACTGTGTGCTCTATAATTGTTTATTTGTTTTTGTCCATGGGCATTGTTCAATTAATCCCTTCGATTTACAGCTAAAAATAAATCCGCATTCAAGAACTCCTTTCGATTTCTATATTGGTTTCCCCTTCGGTGATTCGCATCATGTCATATTAACGAATGAGAACCGGACAGCAGCTATGCTGTACATGAATTCGAAAGCTATAAATAGCTATAAATGTTCTGATTTTTGACACTTAAGTTAAAAATTTGTTATTTCCCTTTTTTAGTAGTACGTGAAATTATAATTTGTTACATTTTGAATTACATTTACACACAGCATATCAAGTATACTATTAGTGATTGAATTTGTCAATATAATGCAGATTACAGGCATATGACTTAAATAATTTTGAATTTGATAATTATTCTTTATTTATATTTATGAAATTAAATGTTTAATAATACCATAATTTAAATAATTAAACTTCAGTATATAAGGTTAAATTTCGTATTGCATACCGCTTTGAACATGAAAATTAACTCTTTAAGGGTATGACTGGTGACATGTCCGGGGTCCGTACTCAACAGCGAACGCTGCATTTTGTGGCCTTACGAGCGGATGGACCCTCATTAAGCATAAGCTATCGATAGATAGCATCATTGATAACAGAAAGTTTGATCTGCAGTTTGAACATGAATTGTAATGTGTTTTTTATGAATGGTTTTAAAACAATTCAACAAAAAAAGTATATTGATCTCCCAATAAAGGAATTAACAATAGTTGTTTATATAGCACCAATGTCAAATACTTTTATATCTTTGACTTGCACGAACATGATGTTAGTGAATTTCCTCATACCTGCCTAAAATTCAGGTAACAGTCTTCTATTATATTGATAGATATTGCATCACAATGTAACGCATGTATAACAAACAAACAAATCCTGAATTTGGTCTTTAAAAAATTCATCCCAATTTTTTCATTCCAGAGTGTGTTCTACTTTAAGTATTGAAAGAAACCAATTTTATAATTTGACATGAAAAATGCATGTAATATTACTATATTATAATATTGGTCCCTTTTGTTAATGTTTATATATTTGTTACAATTACAATAATAAAAATCAAAGCACAGAAGGCGATGAATTTGTTTGGGTCTCAGAATGTCAGAAAGGTGAAGGTTGTGATATCATAAACCAATGTGTTTTTATTTGTTTGGGTCGTCAGACCAAACAAACAATGGTAGCAAAATTTCAGACTCTAATGCTGCTAATTGCAGGTGTCGAAAGAAGTCCGCTTTTTTGAAGCGGTTACTACCCTTTATATATCACTTAGGCCGAAAAATTCAAGGGAGATCACTGCGTAAAAATGTTCACATGACAGGCGGATTTATTTTCAAGCAAAATAATTCCCGAATAGTCGAGCATTTCTAATATTGTTTTATTCTTTATAGATATACATGCTTACAGTTAGCGCCATGATTATTTACACAAGTTAGTGTCGTTACAAACCCTAACTAGAATAATATAGTTTTCTTCAGGCATTTAATTACCGTGGCCGAGTGATATGCGAGCTCGCTTAGGAAGCGAGAGGTCTTGAGTTCAAATCCCAGTTATGGAAACTCATTTTTTTTTCAAATTGTTTAAGTCAAATAAACATTGGATCGAATATCAGTGTTGCAATTAGTCTTATAGCCAATTTAAGTGCTGCAATTAGTCTTATAGCCAATCTACTATAATTAAAAGGCTGGAAAGCATTGGTGGCACTATACAAAAACAAATTGTTTTATAATCTTACAACCTTCACCGTTCTGACATTCTGAGACCCAAACAAATTCAGCGCCTTCTGTGCTTTGATTGTATAGTTCCACCAGTACTTTCCAGTGTTTTAACAGTAGTAAATTGGCTATAAGACTAATCGCAACGCTGACAGTTAATTCAATGTTTATTTGATTTAAAAAAATAAATGATTTGCATCTACTGGGATTGGAACTCGAGACCTCTCGCTTCATGAGCAAGTATGTAAACCCCTAGGCCACGGTGAAGTTATATGTTAACAAACTGAAGAAAAACCATTATTATTCTAAATTAGGGTTTGTAACTTATTATTTTGACGCTAAACTCAGATGTAAATAATCAAGAAGCTTACTGTAAGCATGCATATCTATAAAGATTGAAACAATATTAGAAATATTCGACCATTCAGAACTACTTTGCTTGAAAATTAATGCGCCTGTCATTTGACAATCTTTAAGGCATTGTCCTCCTCTGATTTTTTCGGCGTTAGTGTACATATAAAGGGAAGTAACCGCTTCAAAAAAGTGGACTACTTTAGGCATTTGCAATTCTCTGAAATTTCGCGACTACAGTAGTGACACAAACAGAACACAATACAGTCATGTCACATAACATTTACAAGTCTTATAAGTCTTGTTTGTATTCAATGGAATTACTTTCCTTACCAGGTAGGCATCAGTAAAAGCATTTTTTATTAGATATCTTTCCCCTCTTTTTAATTATGGACAGTGCATAAGATAAGTATAATTATGCAAAAAACTGTTTACAAAACATTCGGAAAAAATCTACAATAGTACTTTATCTGAATATAACATGACCTGTGCGTAGGAATAATTTGGTAAGGTATCTGTAATGAGCGCATTTTTTTGCGGGGAGCTTCTCAATTGATGCATTGCAGCAAAATTACTACTTGTTGCCAATAGAGCACACTTAGTATAAAATAATCGGAAATGACATAAAGATTTTACCTATTTTATAATTGTTAAACTTGATATTCGAGTAGAGTTTGACCAAAAAGTCAACACGTCGCCATGTCTTGGTATTCCTAATTGGTTTATTTGACCTTGTAATTAAATTACATTGATAAATTTCTTTAAAGCATAGTACATGTCTGATTGAATTAAATGATAACCGTTTGAAAATCCTTAGGGCAAAGTTTATACATTATTTGTAGACATGTCTCAATTATTATTATTATAAGTGTATTTAGGGGAGGGAATATGTGTTAATTGATAGAATAATTTATATAATGGTGAAATTGTTCTCAACTGAGCATTTCGTCAAAGTCAGTGTGTACATTTTGGGAAATATAAAAACCTATGCTTAACATTTTAGTTACAACGAATTAGAAAGATATAGTAATGCAAAAAAATTAAAGATTATATATAAAAATACAATATTTTAAAGAATCAGGGTATCGTTTTGTTTTATGTCACATACGTCACAGCTTTATCGGGCCATTATTTTTCCTGGCCTACTTAAAAAAAATTAACGCAATAATGACATTTCAAAGTAATTTTGCAAAATGTATTATCAAAGTATTCAAAGTATTAGTTTAACGACAATTTGTTCTTTGAAATTTACCTGCAGTTTCTGATCTATTTTGTGCTTTAATATTTACTATTTTGTATATAATGTTTACGTTCATATATGTGATTGTCTTTGCATAAGATTTTAAATTGTACAAATGTTTGAAATGAATATATAAAATTCGTTTTTTGAAATGAATATAAAATTTCGTTTGCTAGTTCAACTATGCAATTTTTTTTTCGATTCACATTTTCCATCAACTGATTTTATCAGAGACGTTAAAATACATTATATATATTATATGTTTCTGATTTCATTTTATTTAACGTTAACTTTGAACCTTTTTTTAGAATACTGAAATCTGTAAAGATATCAATCATTTAAAATTCACTGTGATGACTCTTCAGCATACTAGTATAAAGATTTCTGGAAAGAAGTTATTCATTTATTAAAACAATCGAATACATGAAAATTGAAGAGTCTGTGCAATATCACTCATGCCCCCTAGCACCGGCTTGAGCGGTACTCAATTTTCTACACCTAAAAGTGCTGGAATAAATGATCCCGAAGGCATGCTACACAACACTAGACACGTGCTTTCGTGATGTATAAATATCTGGAAAAAACTTATTTTTCTCTTTTTCGAAAAACAAGCATAACACACAGTATATAAATTGCTAGAATTCACAATAATACGAATATACAATTATTAAATATATTTCAAAACTTAACTATTTTCGTGATTTTACACTTCATTGGTTGTATACATGAATAACAATTTTTGATATTAACCATGATTAAGATTTTAAATTGTACAAATGTACTTGTAAACACCCAAAGGCATATATTTTGCGGATTTCCAATAACCTGAAACTATTATTTTGAAATGAATATAAAATTTCGTTTGCTAGTTCAACTATGCAATTTTTTTTTCGATTCACATTTTCCATCAACTGATTTTATCAGAGACGTTAAAATACATTATATATATTATATGTTTCTGATTTCATTTTATTTAACGTTAACTTTGAACCTTTTTTTAGAATACTGAAATCTGTAAAGATATCAATCATTTAAAATTCACTGTGATGACTCTTCAGCATACTAGTATAAAGATTTCTGGAAAGAAGTTATTCATTTATTAAAACAATCGAATACATGAAAATTGAAGAGTCTGTGCAATATCACTCATGCCCCCTAGCACCGGCTTGAGCGGTACTCAATTTTCTACACCTAAAAGTGCTGGAATAAATGATCCCGAAGGCATGCTACACAACACTAGACACGTGCTTTCGTGATGTATAAATATCTGGAAAAAACTTATTTTTCTCTTTTTCGAAAAACAAGCATAACACACAGTATATAAATTGCTAGAATTCACAATAATACGAATATACAATTATTAAATATATTTCAAAACTTAACTATTTTCGTGATTTTACACTTCATTGGTTGTATACATGAATAACAATTTTTGATATTAACCATGGTTCGAAAGTAAGTTTCCGTACACATGGCTAGCCTTAGTCATAATTAAGTTCCAGTGTTCTTATTCAACTTTATTTGTAACAAAATCAAAAGTAGAATACCAGCTTGCATTAAACTTTCTTTTTCCTTGAAATTCGTCTCGTGTTCGATTAAATATGAGTTCCTCCATACATCCATATGCAACAGGAAATGTATGCAAGTGGAATTTATTTGCAAACAGCTCTCTACGGCCCCGTAGAACCGGTAAATCTTTATGACCATACACGCACATTCCTCTCACCCATTTACCGCGACATGTGGAGTGGTATATACTAATACGTTGTCTATTTTTATACCGAGCTAGATATGGTTTTCTGCTGTTTGCCATCACAGTTGTTTCGGGGTGACCTGCGTAAAAATAATTAAATGCTTTGCATACATTTACTAAGTGGACATAAAATTATTCAAAATTATAAAGCTATTGTTACTGTCATTTATCGATAATAATTTGCTTTTTGATAGAAAAAGATGTTACAGTAAATCGAACCTCTTCACAATGGCATTTTAAAAACAGAAAAACTTCATGTTTACAAGCATCAGTGTACATAGCTTGCCAGAACCAAATATGTTGTTACAAAACAAGCCCTCTTAAATTTCAGTTCGGTTGTGAATTCGACAAAACGAACAGCAAGATTTGATTATACACAAAGAGGGTGAGTTCTGAATAGCCTTCAGAAATCGTCATTTATCAATAGGGCATCGTTATTTTACAATACTATATACATGTATTTAGATTGTGCTAAAAATAAGGGAGGTTACCATCTTCAAATAATAAACATTTTTTTATGTAAAAGTATCCTTATTTCACTTATTTCACACTAAAATGTATAAACAAAACCACAAATATTTCTGAAAATGGAAAAGAAAATCATAATCTGAATTGAAAAAAGGAAAAAGTACAAAAAGGAGGGGAAAAACGTTTTTTTTCCAGGAGGGCATGAACCCACTAACCCTGCCACTAAAAATAAATACTCTTCGGCATTAGGCATCTTATACTTTAACCGCTGAAAACAAACTACGATCTGGAAGCTAGAAGTTTGCATTTCTTCCATTTAAACAGCTTTTTCATTTAACCTTTTATTACATTTATGCGAAAAGATGTAAACATTGATATAACAGTTACGAATTTGATAAATGACTTACAGTTATGAAAAATTAGCAGAGTTGCATGTGTCAATGTTTTTGTGGTAGTGTGTTTTTCTTCTTTTGTATTTTGGTTTCAACTACACAGATTTATAACGTAGAATATATCATATTTCTTTATTCTTGATGTTGACTTTTGTAAATTTAAATAAAATATACTTAATTCAGTTCAAATCAGACATATTTAATGAATATAAAGTAAAAACTGATTTAAACTGAAAATGTGGGCCTATACAAGAAAAATGTAATATAAAAGATCACAAATGTCAAACCTTTGTAAGCGCCTGGTACACCTAGATGTGGATTATGATTCAGTGTGGTGAAGAACGCTTCATCCGGTATGTAACATGATTTGTTCATCCATGTCAAAATGTCATGTGCTCTCTGGTCATATATTGCGTACTCGACAAATCCACGACTCACGGCCACATGCACGGCTCCTTTAGTAACACGTATTCCATGAGGTGCTGATGTTTTGTTGACACATCTAGTTGTAAATCTACGAATAAAACAATTAAATACAAGTAGTACTAAATGGCGCTCTTAGCTTACTGGTATTTGTTGGAAAAATTTACAAATAAATGATATAACAATTAACATCTGATTTTTTTATTTTGTTGAACAGCACAAAGTTAAACGTATGGTAATCATGCGTAAAAGTATCCCAAATTAATCTGAGAAATCAATCTGACAAGCATTAATGTTAATACGAAGGCAAACAACAGGACAAAAGTCGTTAAACTAATAAATTACATTGGTGGCTGATTTGGTATACTTTCATGCGTCGTGTTGTCGCTAGCAACAGCATGACAAAGCGCCAAACGGCGCGTTGTCTTGCGGTGTGTTGTCGCGATGTAACATTGTCGCTCGGCTAAACTCGAAGGATTGGCAATTTGTATATGAAAAAGTCAAGCGACAACGCGCCGCTTGGCGTGCTTCGCTAGCGACAGAACGACATAACGATATAGGTTGTTATGTCGCAATCGACAATGAAACGCTCAAAGTGTACCAAATCAGCCACCATAAATTATAGAATAAACGGTCTACAAAAATATACATCCTGTAGTAGTACATACTTTTATGTCTTGGAGAGACTGCTGTTATTAATTTTTATAAAAATGTAAAATATATAACATTATCATTAAACAAAGCTATATTTAACTTGCTCAAATTTGGTACAAACTTCTTACTCTCTAACTGATGTTTCCACGTCGTTTGAACCATTATATGCTTGAAGAATTTTAACTAATTCATAATTAGTTTTTAATGGAAATTCCTGCCCTGTCAGATTGATGAAATATTTCCAACGTTTGTTCCGGGTTAACAATTCTTTCATACACAACAATTCCGGCTCTAAAACGGACATTTCTCCCCATTTAACATTAACTCGTTTGTTTAAAACAAACACATTGTCAAAACAATGGCTTACATTTTGAATTGCACTATATAGTGCGTCATCTGTTTTAGAGTCAACGTGAATACAGTAAATATTTTGTGGTCTATAAATTGTACGTAAAAGTCTTTCAACTTGGTCTACATCTTTATACATAAGAATACTAAAAGCTATTGGAAAATTCCGTTCCTCTACTGTCAAATGGTGTGTTATATAGCCTCTGTCAGTGATGAAAGATGAACAGTTCCGAGTACTTTCCATGTAGTTTTGAGGGGTTATTATTGGTGTTTTGTTTAGAAATCTGACGTATAATGAGACATCCAATATGGTTATGCTTTCAAACAGTCTTGAACAGTTAAAAATTGGAATATTTCTACTACGGCTAAAGAATGTCTTGGTTATTGATTGTTTTTGCATTTTCGGCTCCTTTATTTGTGTTTGAATCATATCAGATACTTTATTCAAAGATTTTCTGTAATATTTAATGCGATTATTTCTTCTACTCGTATTTGAAATTTCAATCATTCTAAATGAAGTAGTATTTATATATGTTTTGTCCAAAGTATGTTCCGAAATTAAAAAGTAAGAAAATTTTAGAAAGTAAAGGTAATATGGAATGCAAATCATAAAAAGAATTATAATAAATTTACGACAATCAAAATATATTTTTGAACTCATTGTGTTTTGATTATGCCTTGTATATTTTGTTGGATAAAGGTTTCTTTTTAAATAAAAATCAACGCTCGTGAATATTCTGCAAAAGCCACTGTTAAAATTGTTTATAAAAATATTACTGTCATTGATATCACTGGTGGTGTTGCTTTCCTTTCTGTATTCTTTTCTATTCTAGTTCAACCCATTGTGTACCTACATGCCATTTCTTGATTTTTCCCGTCTTTTGTTGTTTTTCTTTAATCTACATATAAGTATACATGCGCATTATAATTATCGTATGTATGGCAATGAAAAGAACTTTATTAAGATTATGCTCAATAAACTTCTGAAATCCAGTTCTAAAACGCACACATTTAATGTCAAATTAATGGTATATGTTCCATCTAAAACTCCTTATTTATGACAATCCCCGAAACTAAGTTAAAGTACCAACAACTGGACCGTATCCAACTTCAAATAATAACACATATATCCATCGTGAATATCTTCTCCATCCAGATGTGCTTAAAATAAATACTTGATTCTTTAACTGACGTCATGATTTTCCAACAAAACATAATTACATACAATGTATATAATTAATGCAAACATTGTTTCAAAATAAAATGACCTTTGGCGATAATAAAAAAATGTTCATACATGTTTGTTTTTAAGATTTTATCTCATTTTTTTCATTAATGGGACACTACGATTTCAACAGGCCATTTATTTTTCGTGAACAAACTAATCAACAACATTAGATTATATCTACAAAATTGATGGAGTCTTACCTTCACAATTGAAGGAAATAAAAGAATCTATCTATCCACAAGTCCAACTTAACAAAGCAGAAATTCAACGGTTAACTCTGCTATTAGAAGTTGTTTAAAGCTTTAAATATTTAAACATTGGTATCGGACACAAAAACAAATGAGCCGCGTCACGACAAAATCAACATAATGGGTTTGCTTACAAACTCTATAACAAGTAGAGAAACTGATAGCGAACAGCATGGATCCTGATCAGACAGACAGACTGCGTGGATGCACAGGCTGGTCTGGATCCATGCTGGTCGCAAACCCATTATGTTGTCGTGACACGGCTATTATTACTTAACATTCATTATTTTCTATGCAAAACATTTTTACAGTATTTAATCAACTTTATTTAAAGATACAAGGTTAAATTTATTGTTCGCCACATTAGTGAGATCAGACTTTAACTATGTTGCTTAAACGTTGGGATATTGTGACTGAAAAAACACTAAAATGGCATATTGTAAATTCCTCATTCTTCAAAAAATCTTTCTGTTAAAAAATCGACCAATTTGGATGTATTGTATAGACATGTAAGGAGATATTCAATGTCAAAATACCGTAAATTATGTTTAAATATTTGATTAAAATACTTAAGTCACCTGATAATTCTACTCTTAAAAAACACATCATATCGTATGCTTTAATGCGTCATTACATGGCATACAACGAAGACAGTGGGTTTATCAAATACATGTACAATATATGTACAAGTAAAATGATTTCCCGCGGGGAACATTTTTAATGATATAAAGATATTTCATTTAACTATTTTCAACATTGTTTTGGGGGAATAAATAAACGTGCGGTTTTATCAGGAATATAGTTGACAATAATCGATCAATATAGAAGAAGGTCTTTGGAAACTGGTGACCGTTGATGACCGGAGAATGTCGAACAAAAAAACAATTATTTCTTTTTAAGAAAATGATTAAATAGGCCTACCATTTTATGAATAATTCCGAGCAAAAAAAAGTAAACATACAAGTTTACGCCGAAAATATCTCTATTTATTCTGGCAGATGCCACTACGAATATTTTAATTTTGTAGATTTTCAGTATAAACAATTTACAATGATTTATTGTTTGTAAAATTTGAGATACATATTAAAGAAACATTGATAATTTTCAAACACATCATTCAAGTTTTTCCACCTTAAATGGTTAAAATAGTTATATAGAAAAATTAGAAATATCACGTAATAGTTTTTTGTTCTTAATTATGTGTCACTCTGACTATTCCCTAGAGGTAAATCCGTAACGTACCGGCAAACGGTATTTAGCCAGGTTTTCGAAAAGGTGAATTAACCAATCATGTACGGTTTACAGATCACATGCTCCTCCATGTACCGAAAACAGGTCACGTGCTCCTCCATGCCTAAAAAGTTAAACGCGTACCAATAGCCTGCGGTCTCCAGACCGCAGGGAAAAATCAACGTTTGGACCAAGCAAGATAACATAAACGTTAATGAAGATATAATCAAGCTAGTATTATCTAGAAATATACAAACAAACTTGGTAGTTAAACATAAATACCTTTCGCAAACTTTCATCTTATAGCCATTTTAAACAAGAATCTTAGTTTGAAAAAAAATATGTTAGCGTTATAAATAGATATTTAGGAAAAAGACGGGTGAAGGACGATAATTCATTGAATTTGATAGATCATCTTTATTTATACACCCAAAATATTACAATTTACGGATGAATTATTTTTAAACCATACTTTTTGTAGATGGCATTTAATGCAGAAGTTTGAAACGCGAAATATAATGTATGCTATGTGTTATAATACACATACTTTACTGATACTGATACTTTTGTTTAGGAAATTGATATTTATACTTTGTAATAATGACAATTTGTACAAAAAATGAACGTGTTTGTTAAACACAAATGCTCACAGCTCATATTCTTGTCAGTAACAATATTTCTAAAAATGTCTACCCTTTCACTCAGTTATGGACAGAAAAAAATGCCAAAAACAAAAACAGTTATGAAACTTGACGGAGTCATGGCGTTTTGTAATTGCGAAAAAAAAATAAAAAAGTTTGCAAGTTATTGCTATGACTTGTGACGAAGTTGAAAAATATTATATACTATATAATAAATGCAAGCCCGTGACCCTAAACTCTATTCAAACTTAAAGGAACCTTAGGTATGTTCCTTGATATATGAGATCGGGTTAAAAAATACAAAGGCTGTATATTAAAGTGTAAAAATCTATTATAAGCCCAAGAGGCATTGACCTTGTGACTCCCAACACTGGACCACCAAATGTATTTTCCACCCAAATATGAAAAACATCATTCTATAAATGAGCCACGCCATGACAAAACCAACATAGTACGTTTGCGACCAGCATGGATCCTGACCAGCCTGCGCATCCGCGCAGTCTAATCAGAACCCATGCTGTTCGCTATCAGTTACTCTACTTGTAATAGAGCTTGAAAGCGAACAGCATGGATCCTGGTCAGACTGCGCGGATGCGCAGGCTGGTCTGGATCCATGCTGGTCGCAAATGCATTACGTTGGTTTTGTCGTGACGCGGCTCATATATTAATGATAAAGTTAAATTACCTTAAATATCCTATTTTTATCACAAGTAAAATCCAATCTGCGTAATTTTAATTTGATCCCTACTCTACCTAGTCGATGCACACGTTTCTAAAGAAACTGTTCTTCAGAATTAATTAAACATGTCATTTTGTAAAACCATGGAAAAATTCTGTAAAAAATTATCAAAATCCCCGATGCAGTTCATTTTGCGTTTGAGTGAACTTGTAGTTTCTTTTGCGTTTTATAATATACAAAGTTCACAAATAGCTCATCGCTCCTCTTCTAATAAAATACTTTATAAAGTCAGAACAAAAACGAAACACACCAACATATAAAATCATTTTGAATTGTCCATAATTTTCGTAATACGGTAAGTCCTGCACGGCACGTACTTATATTTTATTTTATTCACCACGCCTTTATTAAACAGTTAATCCACAACTCTAGTCATCCTTTTTTGCTGACAAGGCGAGAAATACAAGTTGTTTTACAATGCTTTTGAAACTGACCTTTTTTAAATGGCTTTTCAAGTATTTAAGGCGGTTGTGTTTTGAACAAGGGTTGAAACATAAAACTTCTCTTCTTTACATCTCTTTTCTAACCCGAGGTAGTATATGTACATGTAATTTGATCTGTAACTGTTTTCAAGATCTTATCTCCATTTTTATAATTGTTTAACTTGATATTCAAATAGATTTTAACCCCTTCCCCCCCCCCCCCCCCCCCCCCCAAAAAAAAAATCAACACGTCGACACTCTATTAAATATATCATATGGCCGTGATTATCAAAAAGTGCCCCGTGCGAACTCGCAATGAACTTGTAATCTGAAACATGAAACTGAAGCAGTAGTCAATACGTTAATTATCCCACTTCTACTGTACTAAAGATATGTTGACATTTATTAAAATATAACATCCCTGGTCGTAAACTTTATCAGATTGATGATTATGTTGATGGTTGGGTTGGCTTAGAAGCAAAATCAAAACAAAGCATTATATTCCTTTTTCACATTTAATGATGGCGAATTGCAGTTGTATATACATCAACAGAGAAGTATTTATGAAACACGATTGTACACAATAACCGGTGTGTTTTTATGACACTACCTGTTAAGATAGTATTTATAATCAAGACCATTGCTTTAACAGTCCTCCAAATAAAATAAATGTTACCAGAAAAAATTCCTACGTTGTGAAAATTGAAAACGTTCGTGTCATAACATTCATGCCGATCTTATCACTACCTTAAAGTGTGATTTAAATGGTATATAGCTATATCTTACCAAAAAAAATAAAGACATTAAAATATATTGTTTGCATAATCTTATTGCTGATTTTTAAAAGCACAGTAACATAGAAAATCTGTTATTTAGCACATATGGATATTATACGTAAACAGGATACAACGTACTGAAAACCACATATTATTCTGCAAAATTTAAGTAAGCAATGAGCTTGCACATGCGCCATTTGCTTTTAAGGAAATTTTCTGCAAAATTTCTTTCATACAAGCATTTTAGATTCTTTTTTAAAATTCAAACAATTATTTTTGCAGCAGATATATACATTTATATACTTTAAATAAAACATTTCACAGAAAAAAAATATATTCTTTCTTTAAAATTTGTGATTTTCTGTAACTAACACAAGTTTATTTTTCTGATTTCATTTTTATTGTTCAAAGTTGTAAGAGGAACACATCCATAATAAATGTATGGCTCTGAGAATTTCAGTTAATGAGCTGGTAAAATCACATATTATACACTATAACAGCCCCTGTCTTTTCATGTCTTCATACGTCTTTTTATTTACAACATTTCCCAGAGAATCTTCAAATTCCTCCTGTAATATAAAATAACAAAACATGTTAACATTAACAAGATATTATAAATATAAAAAGGAAATCTATCTTTTCTCTCTTGAATGGTTTTTAAGTGACTGAATCTTGTCTTTTAAATTGACAGAACTTGAAGTATTTACAGTCTTCAGCTAACTGGCTATCAAATAGCAACACTGGGATAAAACAAAATCACTGGTTGACATGGTTTACACAAATAAACATATGGTTTTGTTTGTCATACTGTGTGTGGGCAGTTAACCTAGCAATGAATAAAACAAGACTGGCTACAGTTTTCATTGCTAAAAAAGGGTCAAGCCTAAAAATGCAAAATCCTAACAAGAGCACCGCTAGGCGGAGCATTATATGCCCGAACGTGTTTTTTTTTTTTAGTAAAGATGAAGCATTTGTAAGACATGGGACTAAAATAAAGTATTACCTCCTTCAAATAACAATCCTCCTTTGCAGTTTCAATATTGTGGTCCAAATGGAACTTTTAAGTTATGTCCCAGAAACTGTTTTCAATTCTAAGGTAAAAGTGACCTTGACCTTTGACCTTGTGACCCCAAAATCATGAGGGGTCTTTAACCCAATATGGACAATCATACTATGAAGTTTAAACACAGTAGGCCAAATGATACTTAAGTTATATTCCGAAAACTGTTTTCAGTTTTAAGGTAATAGTGGCCTTGACCTTGTGACCCCAAAATCAATAGGGGTCTTCTACCCAATATGGACAATCATCCTATGAAGTTTGAATATTGTGGGCTAAATTGAACTAAAGTTATGCTCAAGAAACTGTTTTCAATTTCTAAGTAATAGTGACCTTGATCTTTGACCTTGTGACCGCAAAATCAATAGGGGTCTTCTACCCAATATGGACAATAATCCTATGAAGTTTGAACACTGTGGGCCAAATAGAACTTAAGTTATGCTCCGGAAACTGTTTTCAGTTCTAAGGTAATAGTGACCTTGACCTTTGACCTTGTGAACCCCAAAATCAATAGGGGTCTTCTACCCAATATCGTCAATCATCCTATGAAGTTTGAACACTGTGTGCCAAATGGAACTTAAGTTATGCTCCGGAAACTGTTTTCAGTTTTAAGGTCATAGTGACCTTGACCTTTGACCTGTGACCCCAAATTCTAAAGGGGTCTTCTACCCAATATGGACAATCATACTATGGAGTTTGAACACTGTGGGCCAAATGGAACTTAAGTTATGCTCCAGTAAACTATTTTCAGTTTTAAGGTAAAAGTGACCTTTGACCTTGTGACCCCAAAATCAATAGGGGTCTTCTACCAAATATGGACAATCATCCTATGAAGTTTGAACACTGTGGGCCAAATGGAACTTAAGTTATGCTCCGGAAACTGTTTTCAGTTTTAAGGTAATAGTGACCTTGACCTTTGACCTTGTGACCCCAAAATCAATAGGGGTCTTCTACCAAATATGGACAATCATCCTATGATGTTTGAACACTGTGGGCCAAATGGAACTTAAGTTATGCTCCGGAAACTGTTTTCAGTTTTAAGGTCATAGAGACCTTGACCTTTGACCTTATGACCCCAAAATCAATAGGGGTCTTCTACCCAATATGGACAATCATCCTATGAAGTTTGAATATTGTTGGCCAAATGGAACTTAAGTTATGCTCCGGAAACCAAATTGCTAACGTTTTCAGTTTTAAGGTCATAGTGACCTTGACCTTTGACCTTGTGACCCCAAAATCAATAGGGGTCTTCTACCCAATATGGACAATAATCCTATGAAGTTTGAATATTGTGGGCCAAATGGAACTTAAGTTATGCTCCGGAAACCAAATTGCTAACGGACGGACGGACAGACGGACGGACGGACGGACAGACGGACGGACGCCAGGGGGTATAACATAATATGTCCGAAATTCTTTCGGGCATATAAAAAATCATGCATAATATATTGGGAAAGTAACCTTAACTACAAACACCCTTGGTCCATTGAAAGATTCTCCCTCAATAACCACAAATATTGTAAAACAATTTATCACAAAACTTTTAACATTAATTAAGTAAATCAATGTAATATAACTTCAATACAAACTATATGTGCACAGCATTAACATTTTTCATGTTTGAAACCAATACCCTCTCAAGTTTTTATGATTAAATGCATTGAACTGCTTATTTTAAGAAATTATCTGCAAATCATTTACCAATTTAAACTACAAATCGAAATAGCAAAGCAATCTTAAATAGTCATATCCATAATTACAAACTATTTTTTATTAATCTTAAGGTATACTATTCACGGAAATAAAAATATAACAACACACAAATATTTACCTCAGTATCAGGTTTCCATCTCTCTGTTTCTTTTGATGCTTTTATTTTTTGCCATACTGTAAATAAATATAGAATATGTTATATTCATTTGGTACTATTATTAAAGATATACTATGCTCATCCTCAGGTAAAATATTTTTATCACAGAAATCTATTAAAATCTATTAAATTCTTAAATTTGAAAAAGAGAACGAATTAACTATGTATGTGAAACTCTTTCCCTATTACAGGTCAAGTAATGTTGATCTTTTCTTTAAACAAGAGGGCCATGATGGCCCTGAGGTCGCTCACCTGTATATAGCCCCCCCACCCCCGGGCCAATTTTTACCCAAGGGCTTTTATTTGTTTATTTGAACAGACTTGGTAGACAACCATAAAAAGATGTTTCATGCTAAAATCTAAGTTCTAGCTCATTGGGTTTTTTAAAAGAAGATTTTTTAAGTTTTTACTATACACATATAGTTAAAAACAATGACACCCCTGGGGCAGGGGCAGTTTTGACCCCCGGGCTTTTATTTGAACAAACTTTGTAGATATTTACTTAAAGATGTTTCATGCTTAATATCTAAACTCTAGCTATTTGGGTTTTTTCAAAGAAAATTTTTAAGTTTTTGCTATACACATAAATTATAAGGAAAATCAATGACCCCCAGGGTGGGGCCAGTTTTGACCCCAGGGCTTTTATTTGAACAAACTTGGTAGACACCCATTAGAACATGTTTCATGCTAAATATCTTAGCTCTAGCTCTTTGAGTTCTTTAAAAGAAGATTTTTAAGTTTTTACTATATGCATATAGGGAAAATCAATGACCCCCCTGGGGCGGGGCCAATTTTGACCCCAGGGCTTTTATTTGAACAAACTTGGTAGACACTCATTAGAAGATGTTTCATGCTAAATATCTTAGCTCTAGCTCTTACAGTTCTTTAAAAGAAGATTTTTTAAGTTTTTACTATATGCATATAGGGAAAATCAATGACCCCCTGGGGGCGGGGCCAATTTTGACCCCCGGGCTTTTATTTGAACAAACTTGGTAGACATTTACTAGAAGATGTTTCATGCCAAATATCTAAGCCTTAGCTCTTACGGTTCTTTAAAAGAAGATTTTTTAAGTTTTTACTATATGCATAAAGGGAAAATCAATGACCCCCTGGGGCAGGGCCAATTTTAACCCCAGGGCTTTTATTTGAACAAACTTGGTAGACACTCACTAGAAGATGTTTCATGCCAAATAACTTAGCTCTAGCTCTTTTGGTTCTTTAAAAGAAGATTTTTTAAGTTTTTACTATATGCATATAGGGAAAATCAATGACCCCCTAGGGGGGGCCCAAAATTTTGCCCCCAGGGTTTTTTATTTGAAAAATTTGGTGCACTCTTAAAAGAGTTTTCACCCAAAATATCTAAGCCTGCTTTTTGGGGTTTTTTAAGAAGATTTTTAAAAGTTTTTTCTTTGGGTTTCCCATGGCAACCGGGTTTCTGCATGGAATAAATTTTTGAAAAATTTTTTAAAGGTGACCCCCAAAGGAAATTCCTTAAATTTGGAAAAATTGGGGTCAGTGGTTATGAGGAATGTATTTAAAACAAAAGTTTTTCGGAGGGACGACGGACGAAAAAAACGATCACAAAAGCTCACCCTGTCACTTTGTGACAGGTGAGCTAAAAACTGGCAGTTTTTTAATGATGCTATATATTCATATTGTGACAACCTATAGTGTGTATAGTTCCAAACATAACATATCGACTTTGTGTGTAGTCAAAACAGGTTTATCTTATAGTTATAAAGAGACTGTGTAGCAATTATCAATATTTCAGATATTAAATTTGAGCATAGTATATCTTTAAATAAACTACTTGTATATTCATAAGAAACCAACATCTCATTAATTATGAGATTTTAATACAACTTGGTTTTTATTATGCTTTTTTTATTTTAATTTTTGTATGAAGAGAATGGGTTTACACTGACACCTTGAAGGTCAAATACAGTTCATATAATAGTATCAGACATCTGTTTTACTGGAGGAAGAAGACATGTTACTTCTGTATTGCTTTTTAGATATATTTTCCTTTTGAGTTAATAGATATCTCATTTGATTGTATACAGTACTATTACTCAATTTTTCCATTCCTTAAAATGCTGGTTGTTGAATGCAGGTTTTATGGTAAAACTGAAAACAGAATTATATGTAATGTATTACAATATGGTAGGAATGTATAGAGATTATATACTTACAAGCGAGGGCATCCTCTATAGATGTGACATTAGCAAAATGGGCTGTATTAGGTATACCAAGACATCTCATACCATGAGCATGTCGCCATTCCTGAAATTTATCATTTTATTATGACATACATTTAAAATGTTGTTTCAGAACCAAACTCCTTCTTATTATGAAATTAAATTTTATGTCTGTTTATTTGATCACCTGGTTTTTACGCTGGATAATTAATCAGTAATTACTAATTTTGCAGCAACTAATCCCATTTGATTTTAGATCAACAGTGAAAGACAAATGACCGTTAGACCTTTTATTCAAGTTTTACCTGGAGAAATTTCACCTAGCCAAACCTGGGACTCCTGTATTATCAACACTTCATAAATAATGAATTAACTGTAAATTATGCTTTCTTCAAAGCTATATGTATTGATGGCATACATGTTTTTATTTCCAACCTCCTGTAAGGAAACGTATGTGTTTAAAAAATTCAAATATTCTAAATCACAAACTGTAGAAAATCCTGAATATAAAGATATCTTGAGGTGTAATTTATTAGTTCAACAGATGCAAAAAAAACACAAAATCAATTTTGAAACACAAAATTGACTCTTGACGAAAAAAATCTCTTCTACTTTTCCTTTGAAAAAAAATTAATTGAATAGCTGGCAGATTTTACAGAAACTGCACAATCATTGAGTTTCATGTTTCAATTTTTCATTTTTTGTAATTAAGGAGGAAAAATTCTTGTGTTGTTTCCCTCTCAAAATATGTTTCTCCCATGAAGAAGTTGTGCATGCTACTTGATTAAAGAACTTTAGATTAAACAGAAGAAAGAAAATTTAATCAAAATTTTTTTTTTCAAGCAAAACAACCAGATGTTAATGACAGCCTTTAGATGCAAGTTGTACTGGATTTCCATGACAAAAACATGCAATTGCATGCAAGAAGATGAAACAAAATAATTGTTATAGAAATGATGTTTGTAAGTGACTTACAGCAAAATGTCTCTGGAATGCCTTAGGTCCTTTATAGACAACATTACAGCATATCTCACACTGATAACTGATGTTTAAACCATGTAACTTGTATAACCAGTATGGTATAGGCTGAAAACATAAAAATAAAGTATGGTATAGGCTGAAAACAAATTATATAGTATGGTATAGGCTGAAAACAAATTATAACGTATGGTATAGGCTGAAAACAAATAATAAAGTAAACGAACTTCAATCAATGTAAGAAATGACTTTTGGATTCTTTGATATTCTAGCAAAATATAAATCATGCACCTACTTATATCAAGAACATCAAGACTTCATCTAACTTCTATACAAATTTGAAGCAAAACAAAGCTGATATTTTTCATAAGAGACAGGAAATTTAGTATTTTATATAATTAGTACTACATGTATAATATGAATATGCTTTTATTAGATCAAGTATCATTGTAAGCATTTATCATTACTTATCTGACAAATAAAAAAAATCACTGTATATTATAAAAATTAACTTCACAAATGTGAAACAGAATGCCTTTCTTGTTTTAAAATTGAGGTAATAAGAAGTATTCATGCTACTTTTTTTAATATAATTTAGTTTATTCAATAACATCTAAAGAAATGGGGTAATTCAAATGTAATCATTGAAGATCAAAGTTATTGTAATTTAATCAATGATATTTCAATGAAAGCAGTCACAACCCCGATCAAAAGCCACAATTTTATTTACTCTTTCCTCAAGATTTATGTAAAACAAATAAATAAAAATCGGATGAACAGACTTGTTGCCTTCTAATACCTTTTGCATTGAAAATTTCACTATTTCAAGTTAGTCCTCTGTACTTGCTTTTTTTCTCAGACATATTCTTTATTTCCTTTTATTACAATTAGAAAAAGGCATTCTTTATCTGCCATTATTTATCTCTCGGTACTTTCATATTTTTTAACATCCCTCTTTATCTGCTTTTGAAATAATATCTTAATCTATTTCAATACTTTTTTCTTTTAAACAACCCATTTTTTTCCTAAAATTTCTATAAAAACTATCATAAAACTTCCCTTTTTCCGTCCCACCCAAAGGGGAAAGTTTTAGGATTATAGGGGCGTCATCGTAAATTCATCGTCATATCGGTTTCCGGCATTTTCCCCTCGTCGACCCCCCCCCCTTTTCCTCGCCTTACGGGGTTTTGTTTACGTATTACATTCTCTCTGGTAGCTGCCCGCTGCTCACTCAGAATTTCAGCAAATCTGTAAACTTGTGCCTCTAGTCCAGCTATTTCTCTCTGTCTTTCTCCTTCCCTGAACAATAACATTAGCAAGACATTAATACCTACCATTATAACCTGCTTAACTTAAATATGGCATGTATTGTTTGTTACACACTAACAAATTTTGCCATATGACTATCAATGAAAAATGCTCACATGTGCTCTTTTACAAATACTGACAGCAAGTTAAAAACCAATCAACTTTTCATTTACTAGCTAAATGTTTATCTCATTAAAACAATAGTCAAACGTATTCTTTTTATCAACATCATTCAATATTCCGCTTCAAAAGGAGCTCCAAAAGAAATATTAAGTTATGTCAGTAGTATTATATCTATAGCAATGGATTTTGTATCAAACTATCTATTTATTTGTATCTTACCTAGCTTTTCCAGCCCTGCCAGGTTTTGATTTAGCAAACATAGCTGGATCTAGGTCTTCTAATCTCTTCCCTTTTGTGCTGAATAATCTCTGAGCTCTTTCTTCTAAAGTCCTGGTTAAGTAATTATTCAAAATTTGTCAAGTATCACCAATAAGTCATCCAGATTAAATATTTATCTCTAAAAGATGTTAATGATAAATCAGTCTGGGTAAAAAACTCTTCAAAAATAAAAGCTCTCTGAATAACTCTATGATAAAGGACTTATATCATGCTTTAATTTAGTTGTTTTTATCAATGTATGGCCATATAAACAGACAATACAGATAATATTTACTTAAAGTTATTTGTCTTTTTTTTTAATTTTGCTTGAAATTACGTATCTTCTTATAAACTGAAAATTAATCATTTCATTTAGGTGTATTTTTTTCATTTCAACTAAAACTCTAAAATTTTCAAAGCTTGGTATTAAACCCAAACTTAAATGTCAAGGTCAAATGTTCGTTGAATAAAGACTTACAGTTTTAAACTAAAAAGTTAAATTAATTAAATAGAAGACCCTTACCCTCCACATTTCAAGCCTAAGGCCATTAAAGCAGATTTAAGACGATCAAGACCCAATGATGCCAACTCCTGGAATTAGAAACAACAAACTTTATCAAACTTTAACAAATTTGTTGTAACAACATCTTATGAAGTTTACAAATCAGATAAAATTACCTGCAAAACAGCAAAGCTTTCTAGTCCTTTTAAAAATGAATTTATTTATTTTTCCGTCCTTTTAAATTAAGTTTTTATTTTAAAATGTTTGGGATACAAGTCAAAATTTCAATATGTACTAGTGAACAAAAATGTGCCCATGTATAGTACCCACAGACTTTCACCAAAGTCTAACTTGAAGTGTTTCAGAATCAATGCCAATGGCTGCATTAAAATCAATGAGGGGCATGTGTTGCATCAACTGCAATTACATGCATCCTTGTAACTAAAATTTTATTTTCCTAACAATGAAGGGGAGTTAACTTTGATGCATTTTTTTCACCTTGTAGTCAACAATAAGTTACTTACCTCCCATGAAGAAAAGGCAGACAAATCTAAATGAGCCCCAGTATGTGCAAGAGCACCAAGAGCTTCTTTCTGAAATACCCAAAAAAAACATGTCAAATGTCAAAAGGCTTTTTTTTTAAAAAGATTTCAACACCGCTCAACACTGCCTTACTAATGCATTGATCATGAAGGTTAAAAAATTAGAAAATATTGTTTTCTTATCAAAATCATCAAAACTGAGTTATCATGTGCTGTAAGGTTTATGAAATAACTGAATTATCATATAACACCATTTGAATGTTTTGTAAGATCTTAAAATGACAGCTTTAAAGTGCAAAGACTACTAAAACAAAAGGTTCTGATGGTTCAAAAGAAATGTATAAAGTTTCAACTTTTCAAGTGATCAAAATAAGTAGTTTTGAAAATTAATTTTGCATGCTTAGGTATCTTCTAAAATCACAAAGGGCCATAATTCATTCAATATCCACACCAGAATTAATGGTCTTGCAAAATAACATTTAATTATAATTTCAAAGATAAGTATAAAATTTCAATTTAAAACCTGAGGTGATTTTAAAGATTATGTTGCAAGAAAAACTCTCATCAAGAATTTTCTATGTTCACAAAAGGCCTTAAAGCAACACGCCTCCAGATTCATGCTAACTTTCATGAAAATTTTGAAAATGTGTTTAAAAGTAGTATTTAGTGAAATAACCAAAAGGAAGCAATTTGCAAATTATAAATGGCACTTACAGCCCACGTAAATTATGAAAAAGAGGACAAAATATGCAACAAGAGCTGTCCGTAAGACAGCGCGCTCGACTTTTTTATTGCTTGCCAATAAAAAAAGTTTTTGCAGTAAAAGGCAATACAAGAATCTCTGTATTTTTAAAGTGAACAATGGCCATGAGCATTAAGATATTTAGTGAAGAATTATTTTACTGAATTGTGTGATACCCTTGAACACTGTAGCTGGTCACTTGTCCACCAATCAAATAGGCGAGATAAAATGTGAAATATGCATATACTACTGATTTTAATTTCAAGTACAAAAAGAGAAAAATAACTAGTTGTTTGATACCCTTGAATATTACAGCAATGTTTATATGACATAATTTATGGTAAAGTGAACAAGTGGATAGGAATGAATTTTTTTTAGATTTTTTAAGTTTTTTAGTGCTTGCCTATAATACAAAACATTGACAGTTAAGGGCCATAATTCAAATAAAATCTTTGACAGAATTACCTTCTCCTGGACATGTTTGGGAATCATGATTGTAAACAAGTATTCCAACTTTCAAATTAATATCTCAAACAGTTCAGTCAAAAAGTGGACTGGTACTAAAAACTTAACCAAGATTCTAAGTCGAAAAAGGCCTTAATTTTTAAAACAAATCCTTGACAGAGTTACCTTCTCTTGCGTACAGATGGGGGTAATGATGTGAAAATAGCATTAAAAGTTTCAAAGCAATATCTCAAAGGGTTAAGGCAATAAGTGGATTTTACCCATATTCAATGTATTTTCTAAGTCAAAAAGGGGCATAATTCTGTCAAAAACCTTGACAGAGTTATGTCCTCTTGTCTGTTGATGAAGGTCGTGATGGTAAACAAGTATGGTCAGTTTCAAAGCAATACCTCCAATGGTTTTGAAATAAAGTGAGGTGGTACAAAAAAACTTAACCAAGCTCAATACACTTTCTAAGTCAAAAAAGGGCCATAATTCTGTCAAAAACCTTGACAGAGTTATTACTCTTGTCTGTAGATGGAGGTTATGATGGTGAACAAGTATGGTAAGTTTCAAAGCCATACTTGTAATACTTCTGAAATAAAGTGGGGTGGTACGAAAAACTTAACCAAGGTGTGACGCCAACGCCGACGCCGACGCCGGGGCGAGTAGGATAGCTCCCCTTTTCATAGAAAAGTCGAGCTAAAAATTGCCCTTACTGCATTAGTAACGCAGTAGAAATATAATTATAAATACTGAAAAATCAGTAATTAATCACACATAACATGTAAATTATTACTTGAATCTTGAATAATTTTACTTTTCCTAAAATCTTAGTACATTTTTCTCAAATTTGTTTTTATTGAAATATTTCGCTCATCTGGAGGCATGCGGCTTTAAATCAGTAATTAATACACGCAGTCTTCAAATACATCATAGAATTTTAGTCATGTTCATAATTATACTTTTCCTATACTCAGAAAATTATCAAACAGATATACTAACAGGCCAGCCTGGAAAATGTCCTTCAGCAAAATTTAACTCAAAATCTGTCAACACACTATCCATCTCCTGAAAAGAAAATCATGTAAACAATTATATCATCATTTACTATTTCAAATCTATACACCAGTCATATTTGAGCTGCGTCACGACAAAACCAACATAATGGGTTTGCGACCAGCATTGATCCAGACCAGCCTGCGCATCCCCACAGTCTGATCAGGATCCATGCTGTTCGCTTACCAAACCTTTTACAAGTAGAGAAACTGATAGCGAACAGCATGGATCCTGATCAGACTGCGCAGATGTGCAGGCTGATCAGGATCCATGCTGGTCGCAAACGCACTATGTTGGTTTTGTTGTGACGTGGCTTATTTCATCATTTATTATTTCAAATCTATGCACCAGTCATTTGTTATTCTGGCTACCAACTATTACAGGAATGCTAGTTGTATACCCATTCAAACTAAAGCCTCACTGCCTAGTCAATGAGGTGGTTTTATTTTTGCAATATAAAAATCAAGACATGTGGCTTTACATGCCATGCAGAGAAGATTGAACTGAATTTTTCCATCTGATTGTCTGCACCAAAGTCCTGGTTGTTAACATGGTTTGAAGGGATCGCAAATGCTAAAGGCAAGATGAGTGTAATAATTCAACCTTAGTGACAATATCAAATGACATTAGTTTGTTGCATGATTTTCTAGTCATTCACTTAAGTTATTTTACACACAGTTAAGTGAGATTCAATTTTCAGGTTTTAAATCATGAAAATTGTGGTCAAAGAGTCATTGACTCATGAGACTCAGACAATACTGAGTGCCTTGCTTATTAAATATTTGACACATAGTTATTTAAGTAAAATTCCATTTTTATGTTTTAAATCATAATTTCAATGTCTTAATATCTTTATACAACATATTACTTTAGCTACTTTCCGGAGTAATTTCATATATGAACTAAAACAACATTTCAACACCTTTTCCATATAAAAAATGTTCTAGCTGGTTTAAGAATTGCAACATCTAATCTTTCAAATCCTTGTGGCAGGGAAGGAAAAAAGGTGTAATGCAAAACTGTTTAATAAAGCCAGCCACTCAAATACATAACTCATTCTGTAACTGATGTTTAACTCATATATTGAAGTATACTGTTTATAAAGTGACAAATTTCAGACTTACCTTAGATAGATCTAGTAACGGCTTAATTCTCTGTACATAACCATCAAGATACTCTAACAAATACTGTAAGTACCTAAAATATAACCAACACATAAGCCATTAACAAGAGGAATTAAAACTTCTAAAATTTGGATTATGACTTAGGCAGATATCCTTTAATTTTGTAATAGGTAATATAAGTCTAAATATTAATAAGATAGAAACAGCACATGAACCTATACCCTGCTGAAGGCAAATGTTTCTACTCATGTGACCAGTAGAGACCATGATCAGAGGGCACATATTTTGAAATTTTTCTTTAAAAACAATGACTGATATTGTCCAGATGGGGATATTGACATGTTCATTTAAGTAAATTTAGCGTATTAGTGTAGGAAACAAAATTGACTTATGACCTCATTATGAACCTTATTACACATCTAATAACATTTAAGACACAACAAGAAAGCAATTGAAATAATAAAACTCTCAACTTACTCTTTGTATGCTGCATTTTTCCTGTCTTTAGATATATCAAACAAATGGTCAAATGTAGATAGATATGAGATGTAGTCTATTTTCTAAAAAAAAAAATTACATAAATCAAAATGAATCACAACCAACAACAAGAGGGCCATGATGGCCCTGAGGTCGCTCACCTGTATATAGGCCCCCCCAACCCCCACCCCCCCCCCCTCCAACGTTGCAGAGCCAATTTAACCCAAGGGCTTTTATTTGCACAAACTTGGTAGACACCCATAAGAAGATGTTTCATGCTAAACATTTAAGCTCTAGCTCATTGGGCTTTTTAAAAGAAGATTTTTTTAAAGTTTTTACTATACACATATAGTTAAAACAATGACACCCCTGGGGCCGGGCCAGTTTTGACCCCAGGGCTTTTATTTGAACAAACTTTGTAGACACTTACTAGAAGATGTTTCATGCTTAATATCTAAACTCAAGCTATTTGGGTTTTTTCAAAGAAGATTTAAAGTTTTTGCTAAACACATATAAAAAAAATCAATGACCCCCGGGGCGGGGGCAATTTTGACCCCTGGGCTTGCATTTGAACAAACTTGGTAGACACCTATTAGAACATGTTTGATGCTCAATATCTTAGCCATAGCTCTTTGAGTTCTTTAAAAGAAGATTTTTTAAGATTTTACTATATGCATATAGGGAAAATCAATGACCCCCCGGGCGGGGCCAATTTTCACCCCAGGCTTTTATTTGAACAAACTTGGTAGACACCATTAGAACATGTTTCATGCTAAATATCTTAGCTCTAGCTCTTTGGGTTCTTTAAAAGAAGCATTTTTTAAGTTTTTTACTATATGCATATAGGGAAAATCAATGACCCCCCGGGGCGGGGCCAATTTTGACCCCAGGGCTTTTATTTGAACAAAACTTGGTAGACACACACCAGAAGATGTTTCATGCCAAATATCTAAGCTCTACCTCTTTGAGTTCTTGTAAAAGAAGATTTTTAAGTTTTTTACTATATGCATATAGGGAAAATCAATGACCCCCGGGGCGGGGCCAATTTTCACCCAGGGCTTTATTTGAACAAACTTGGTAGACACCCATTTAGAACATGTTTCATGCTAAATATCTTAGCTCTAGCTCTTTGGGTTCTTTAAAAGAAGATTTTTTAAGTTTTTACTATATGCATATAGGGAAAATCAATGACCCCCCGGGGCGGGGCCAATTTTGACCCCAGGGCTTTTATTTGAACAAACTTGGTAGACACTCACTAGAAGATGTTTCATGCCAAATATCTAAGCTCTACCTCTTTGAGTTCTTTAAAAGAAGATTTTTTAAGTTTTTACTATATGCATATAGGGAAAATCAATGACCCCCGGGGCGGGGCCAATTTTCACCCCAGGGCTTTTATTTGAACAAACTTGGTAGACACCCATTAGAACATGTTTCATGCCAAATATCTAAGCTCTAGCTCTTATGTTTTTTTAAAAGAAGATATTTAAAGTTTTTTCTTTCGGTTGCCATGGCAACCAGAGTTTTGCATGGAATTAAATTCTTTGAACAATTTTTAAAGGTGACCACCAAAGGAACATTCCTGTGAAGTTTGGATGAAATTGGCTTAGTGGTTTATGAGGAGATGTCATTTAAAGTAAAAGTTTACGGACGGACGGACGGACGGACGACGGACGGACGGACGCCGGACGAAAAGCGATCACAAAAGCTCACCCTGTCACTTTGTGACAGGTGAGCTAAAAAACTAGAACTGTGTCCAAAGGACACGGATGCCCCCACTGACAACATATATATGGTATATAGTGAAAAAATCAACAAAGGGCCATAATTCTGTTAAATTTGGTCGCAGCAAAAATTCCTTCCTTTACTCCCATCTACACATTAAGGTTGTTCATCCCAGGAAGTTTAATCAAAATCTGCCATCCGGTTTAAGAGGAGTTGCGTTCACAAAATTTCTACATAGTATATAGTGAAAAAATCAACAAAGGGCCATAATTCTGTTAAATTTGGTCGCAGCAAAAATTCCTTCCTTTACTACCATCTACACATTAAGGTTGTTCATCCCTGGAAGTTTAAGCAAAATCTGCCATCCGGTTTAAGAGGAGTTGCATTCACAAAATTTCTACATAGTATATAGTGAAAAAATCAACAAAGGGCCATAATTCTGTTAAATTTGGTCGCAGCAAAAATTCCTTCCTTTACTACCATCTACACATTAAGGTTGTTCATCCCTGGAAGTTTAAGCAAAATCTGCCATCCGGTATAAGAGGAGTTGCGTTCACAAGATTTCGGGACGTACGGACGGACGGACAGACGTACGGACTGACGGACGGACAAGTGCAACGCTATATGCTCCCACATTGTGGGGGCATAACAAGAACCGGTTGAACCGGGTGATGCTCCCCGAGAAGGTTCTGGACACAGGAAAGTATAAAAAACAAGAGGGCCATGATGGCCCTGAGGTCGCTCACCTGTATATAGGCCCCCAGGGCGGGGCCAGTTTAAACCCCAGGGCTTTTATTTGAACAAACTTGGAAGACACTCATTAGAAGATGTTTCACAATGTTAAGTTTTTTAACTACACACATGTAATGAAAAACAATGATCTCACCCGCCCAGACCTGGGGTAATCACTAATCGTAATCATCGATTTTTTAATTGATTACATGATTACAGTGTAATCATCATGTAATTGATTACCTTGCTCAAAATTGATTACATTAATTGTAATTAATCAATTACAGCTTAAATTCAGTCTGTAATTATGATTGCAATTTGATTGATGTTGATTACTTTCAGATTTTACATGAAACTATTGAAATTAAAATGATTTATTTCACATGTTACAGTTTAACTAAGGTAGTAAAATATCAAGTGAGACATTTTAAGACATCACTCACAATGAAGAAATAAGTTTTAATCCATACAGTTAACCAAATTCTAACTGAAAGATAGACATCATTGTTTGGCTGGTATTGTAACCAAAATGTCAAATCATTGGATTTATGATGTCTTTGAATTTCCTAAAGAAACATCTGGAAATGTGACAGCACAGTGCAAATTGTGCCCTAAGAAGATAGATGGAAACACTAAGTCACATTCAAATTTCATTACCCACATAAAGGTATGTTAAATTTTGTTTCACATATTTTGGTTAAACCATGTTTTAAAAAGTTTCAAACAATGTAGATAACTTCTTTACTTTGTATATTTTAGAGTTTATGTCAGATGCATATTACCATATTTTAATTATATGCATTAGTTACTTTGTAAGGTGATAGACAATGTGTCTATATTATAATGGATACTGTTGTACCATTGAAGTGTTTGTAATTTATTGTTTTCACACCTGTTTTAACACCTGTATACAGTATACTGTACAATTGACACTTTTAAAAATTTCTGTTGCAGAGAGTTCATTATGAAACCTACACCAAGAAGACTGAGGATAATTCCTGCATCATTGGCCCCTGTAGAGCGTTTGTTTAGTGTTGCGGGTAAAATTTTCCGTCCTGATAGATGCAGTCTGACTGATAGACGGTTTCATGAACACTTATGATGCTAAAGTGCAATGCTAAAATATGATAAAGTGATGTGACAGTAACTAAAAGTGTGTTAAAATGATGACTGTTGATTAGCTGGAAATCCTTTGTGTATATAATGTATATAATGTATATATTTAATAGCATTAAGAAACTTTTGTTTATAGTTAATACATGGAATGTAATCAATTATCAATCAATTACTTTCTCAAAGTAATTGTAATTTAATTGATTACAGAGGCAAGTCTGAGTAATCAATTGTAATCAATTACAATAAAATCTGAAAGTAATTGTAATTAAATCAATTACTTATCAATGTAATCATCCCCAGGTCTGCACCCGCCCCCTGTTTCCCCCCCCCCCCCCCGTAGGGCCAATTTTCACCCAAGGGCTTTTATTTGAACAAACTTTGTAGACATCCATAAGAAGATATTTCATGCTAAACATCTAAGCTCTAGCTCATTGGGTTTTTTAAAAGAAGATTTTTAAGTTTTTACTAACACACATATAGTTAAAAACAATGACATCCCTGGGGCGGGGCCAGTTTTGACCCCAGGGCTTTTATTTGAACAAACTTTGTAGACGTTAACTAGAAGATGTTTCATGCTTAATATCTAAACTCTAGCTATTTAGGTTTTTTCAAAAAAGATTTTTTAAGTTTTTACTATATGCATATAGGGAAAATCAAGACCCCCCGGGGCGGGGCCAATTTTGACCCCAGGGCTTTTATATTGAACAAACTTTGTAGACACTCACTAGAAGATGTTTCATGCTTAATATCTAAACTCTAGCTATTTGGGTTTTTTCAAAGAAGATTATTTAAGTTTTTGCTATACACATATATTGAAAATCAATGACCCCCGGGGCGGGGCCAATTTTGACCCCAGGGCTTTTATTTGAACAAACTTGGTAGACACCCATTAGAAGATGTTTCATGCTAAATATCTTAGCTCTAGCTCTTTGAGTTCTTTCAAAGAAGATTTTATAAGTTTTTACTATATGCATATAGGGAAAATCAATGACCCCCTGGGGCGGGGCCAATTTTGACCCCAGGGCTTTTATTTGAACAAACATGGTAGACACTCATTAGAAGATGTTTCATGCTGAATATCTTAGCTCTAGCTCTTTGGGTTCTTTAAAAGAAGAATTTTTAAGTTTTTACTATATGCATATAGGGAAAATCAATGACCCCCTGGGGCGGGGCCAATTTTGACGCAAGGGATTTTATTTGAACAAACTTGGTAGACACTCACTAGAAGATGTTTCATGCCAAATATCTAAACTCTAGCTATTTAGGTTTTTTCAAAGAAGATTTTTAAAGTTTTTACTATATGCATATAGGGAAAATCAAAACCCCCGGGGCAAGGCCAATTTTGACCCCAGGGCTTTTATTTGAACAAACTTTGTAGACACTCACTAGAAGATGTTTCATGCTTAATATCTAAACTCTAGCTATTTGGGTTTCTTCAAAGAAGATTATTTAAGTTTTTGCTATACACATATAAAGAAAATCAATGACCCCCGGGGCGGGGCCAATTTTGACCCCAGGGCTTTTATTTGAACAAACTTGGTAGACACCCATTAGAAGATGTTTCATGCTGAATATCTTAGCTCTAGCTCTTTGAGTTCTTTCAAAGAAGAATTTGTAAGTTTTTACTACATGCATATAGGGAAAATCAATGACCCCCTGGGGCGGGGCCAATTTTGACCCCAGGGATTTTATTTGAACAAACTTGGTAGACACTCACTAGAAGATGTTTCATGCCAAATATCTAAGCTCTAGCTCTTAGGGTTTTTTAAAAGAAGATATTTAAAGTTTTTTCTTTCGGTTGCCATGGCAACAAAAGTTCTGCATGGAATTAAATTCTTTGAACAATTTTTAAAGGTGACCACCAAAGGAACATTCCTGTGAAGTTTGGATGAAATTGGCTTAGTGGTTTATGAGGAGATGTCATTTAAAGTAAAAGTTTACGGACGGACGGACGCCGGACGGACGAAAAGCGATCACAAAAGCTCACCCTGTCACTTTGTGACAGGTGAGCTAAAAATAAACAAAGGGCAAAAACTCCAAAATTAGGCAAGGCGGAGTTATGTTTTTTTTGCACTGCACTTCTATTCAAAGAGATCTATCTATCTATACAGTTTCCTGATGATATCTCTTATAGTTTCAGAGTTATGTCCCGGGTAAAATTCAAAGTGTAAAAATGAACAAAGGGCAATAACTCTAAAATTAGACCAGGCTTTGTTTAGGTTCTTTAAGCATTGCAGTTCTATCCAATGATATCTAGCTACCTACAAAAATTCATGTTGATATCTCTAATAGTTTTAAAGTTATGTCCTCAACAAAAGTCAAAAAGTAAAAATAAACAAAGGGCAATAACTTCAAAATAAGGCAAGGCAGAGTAATGATTCTTAAGCACTGCACTTCTACCCAATGAGACCTATCTATCTACAAAGTTTCATGTTGATATCTCTTATAAGTTTAGAGTAAGGTCCCGGACAAAGTTCAAAGTGTCAAAATGAACAAAGGGCAACCAGTGCTACAGATAAGCAGCGTATCTGCGTAATTACCCAATAATTTTGTTCAATTTACCCAAATAAAATAAAATCTTTGCGTAATAAAAACGCAAATCAAAATATCAGTACCCAATTTGTTTTGATACTCTAGCGTATTTTCAATATCTTGGACCATAATTCACCTAGCAAAAACTGCCAAACAAATCCGAAAATAGCCTGTTTCCCATTGTATACACACCGGTCTCAAATATCGACAGTCAGTAAGACCGGTGTACACAATGGCCTGTTTCCCTTTCTGTACTTTCGTTTTCCATTTGTTAACCGGGAACAATTGAGTAGACTGGTTTAAAGATATTTTTTCGCGGAAAAGCTTTATATACTTATGAGAGATAACTAAATAGCAGTCCAGACTGAGGTTTATTTACTTTCTGCTTCAACAAAATGGCGAAACGGGGCTGATAAAAATTAATTATTTCAATGCAGTCTTACAAAATATTTGGTTATTTTACCGAGCCAGATGTTGTAAAAAATTTGTTAAATGAACTTTTTAGACAATGTTTGTTTACAGTCTTTGTGTATATTGTTTCCGAGATCCTGGACAATATTTTGACCGATGCAAATCTATGCAAACCAATAAATTTTCAAATGATACCCAATTTTGTTTCTGTGTTACCCAATTGCTTGTCAAGTCCAGGGGTAAATACCCAATTAACTCAAAAGCTTATCTGCAGCTCTGGGCAACAACTTCAAAAGTAGGCAAGACAGTGTTACAGTTCTTGTGCACTGCAAACCTACTTAATGAGATCTATCTACCTACAAAGTTTCATGTTGATAGCTCTTATAGTTTTAGAGTTATGTCATGGACAAAGTTCAAAGTGTGAAAATAAACAAAGGGGAATATTTAAAAAAATTAGGCAAGGCAGAGTTACGGTTCTTGTGCACTGCACACCTACTCAATAAGATCTATCTACCAACAAAGTTTCATGTTGATACCTCTTATAGTTTTAGAGTTATGTTCTGGACAAAGTTCGAAGTGTAAAAATAAACGAAAGGCAATAACTTCAAAAATTAGGCAAGGCAGAGTTACGGTTCTTGTGCACTGCACACCTACTCAATGAGATCATTCTACTTACAAAGTTTCATGTTGATACCTCTTATAGTTTTAGAGTTATGTCCCGGGTAAAATTCAAAGTGTAAAATAAACAAAGGGCAATAACTACAAAATTAGGCAAGGCAGAGTTACGGTTCTTGTGCACTGCACACCTACCAAATGAGATCTATCTACCTACAAAGTTTCATGTTGATACCTCTTGTACTTTTATAGTTATGTCCCGGACAAAGTTCAAAGTGTAAAATAAACAAAGGGGGATAATTAAAAAATTAGGCAAGGCAGAGTTACGGTTCTTGTGCACTGCACACCTACTCAATGAGATCTATCTACCTACAAAGTTTCATGTTGATACCTCTTATACTTTTAGAGTTATGTCCCGGACAAAGTTCAAAGTGTAAAAGTAAGCAAAGGGAATTAATTAAAAAATTAGGCAAGGCAGAGTTACGGTTCTTGTGCACTGCATACCCACTCAATGAGATCTATCTACCTACAAAGTTTCATGTTGATACCTCTTGTTGTTTCAAAGTTATGTCCCGGACAAGAAAAGCGGACGGACGGACGGACAGACAGACGGACAGACAAGGCGGCGACTATATGCTCCCCAGAAATTTTTCAGGGAGCATAATAAATGTATTGTGAAAAAAAAAAACGTTACTGAAGACAACCCACATATTGCTATGATACATCAAACTTTTGCTCTCTTCAAATAGTTAACAGTATAAAGTTCACACATATTAAAGTTACCAAACCTTAAATATTGTCTGATAATGTAGCATTGCAATTAATTCATCACTAAAATTGAACACACAAAAATTAATAATGTCTTATGCAATTTTGTCACATATTTAGATAAGTAAAAATTATGAACTTTACTTTCTTAAGCTAGCTGAACTTAATTCAGGAATACTCAAACAGAAACACAATCAAACATTGTGTTTGTTCCTACTTTCTAGTAATTGATATTGTTAACTTACGTCCATTCCTTTGAGGTTTATAAACATGGTATGGCAGTCATGTAAGTCTAGATATTTACCGTACCCTTCCTCATCAGAAAACTCAATCATATCTGTAATGTTGAAAAAAAAAGTAAAATAAATCAATAACAAAATTTTTAATTTGGTTATGAAAATTCTTTATCAACATACACATTCTAAAATTGCATTATTTACATATCAGTTCTAGCATGAATAAAGTAACCAAATTTTGCTTCCAATTTTGATAGCTTTTAAGTCTATATTTTTACAAAATTGGTGATTTATATAAATGTAAGACATGAAATCAGCAAGAAATAAATGGTGTGAAAAGAAATGTACTCCAGTTATCTACAAATTACATTTGTAATGGGGGAGGACCATACCTCTGCTACAAATATTTAAAAAGAAAAAATAAATTGTAAAATTGATAACTCCTGCTTAATGATATCAATCACTTGATTGAAACTTCTGTGCTACATGTACCTCAACCAACTATCTAATACCTATCAAAAATGCAGATTAAAATTCAATCTTGAACGTAAATTATTTAGGTGTTAAAAGTCATATTTCAAATTTGTCAAAATAAAGTTCTCATTCACAATGTAGTGTACAAGTATGAAGGTTCTGACTGGTGCTAGTAGAATTAAGATGTTATGGCGATGTATTTCAAACATCATTGTGGACAGAAAAAAATGACGAAACCAGACAATAGAATGACACCAAATTTGTTGATTCAGGGGTATGTAAAACTGCTTACTTGTGTTCTCATCAGCATTTTCTCTCATTTTGTTGATCTCATCAAACTCTACAGACATCGGTACACTTATCTGTAAATATTTCATTATAATTTACTTGATTATCTTCCTATACATCTTTCATCATGGTTATGAATTGTTGACCTTTATTCTTTAACACCTCAGGCAATATTTCAAGCCCATATCTTGTCAAAACAATTCATACATATTATGTGAATAATTTAATAACACACAAGAATCTGACCTTTAATAAAAAAAAATACTTTTATCAGGAATTGTAGTTTAAAATCCTGCTCTGTGTTTTTATAGAGAAAAGTAAAAAGAACACTCATGGAAAGTATCAACACAAAAACTAAGATATCAATTCATAAATTAAGATACAATGAAAAGGTAATCTTCTAGAAAGAAAACAAACAAGCAACTGTTTGTTCAACCTAACAATATCAATTATTCACTTTATGACATATCAAGGTGAAAGAAATAGCAAGATCTTTACACTCATTGCTTAGTACTGGTTTGTTCCAGGAGCGGATGCGAGAGTGTTTCACTAAGGTTATAGCTTCCAACACAATCAAACTAAAAATAAATTAGTATAAACTACAGAAATAGACTATAAACCTCATTAGGATGTTTTCTATGGAAATCCTTCAGCTGTTTCATCCTCGAGTAAAATTCTTGGAACTCATTTGGACCATATAAGGCCTGCATCTCCTCTTTCCTCAATCTTTAATATACAAATATAAATCATATAAAACAATTTTAGACATTATTTTAAGGCCCTTTCTTTATTATAAACTGTACACTCATTAAGTAAATGATATATTAAAAAATTTATAAAGTGAATTCCCTCGGACTTTTTTGTTTTCTATACAGTCAAATTAATTGTCAAAGTTAATTAATTTTTAAAAATATCCCATGGTGTGGATGAACCAATGTTAAGGTAATTTACTATATCAAACTGTACATGTATTTAGAAAATGTTTTTTTCATCTGATTAACACTAAAACAATGAAATATATATAATAAAAGTGTGTCCAATACATACCCATCTTTATCTTCATACAGGTCTTTTAGTTCTGTTGTGCATTCCACATATCTCTAGAATTAGAAGAAAAATGATATATCACCATGTACAATACAGCCTCCCAATATTTTTGTCTCATGCACTTGTTGAAGTTGATAAAAGATGTCAACAGGGTACTTTTTAGGCAGAATTTGAGGTCGAAATTTGGTACTTTCAGTCACTAACTAAATATAACACCTCCAAAAGTTCTATCAAAATGATATTTTGTACTAAAAATTCAATTAAATCAATTAAATAAGATTCTTTACAGGCAAGTGTAAAAAAAACACAAAAAAACTATATCAATTTAGAGAGCTAGCATAAATGGAACATTATACATACATCTAGAAGTTGTCTCAGCCTTTGATCTTTGTTGATCTGATCTCTACCCTAAAAACAAAATATACCTTCTGTTACATGTAAAATTAACAATAACACTAAAATATAAATCAATTTGAAACATGGATAGCCTGGTTATGCTGCATAACAATCAGGTCTTCAAGAAGCAAAATTAATTATCTTGTAGAATAAAATGACTGGTTGACAAAACACCTTCTTTTTGTCAACTTGTCACTAAATTGAGTCTTAAAATAATTCTATTATGTAAAACAACGATTTATATCAATCTTTCTGATGTAATAAAATCTAAATGAATTTGTGTAAATTGGATAATTAATTTTGGGGGGGGGGGGGAGTTGTTGTTTTTTTTAAAACAAATCAAACAATAATATTTGCAGTGCATAATTAGTGTAATACACAATATATTATAACTGTTAAAACATTTTAAAAAGCATTATCAGATATCCAAATATCAGGAAATCATTAGATGTAAAGCTTTGTATTGATTCTCACACAAGACAAGTAGCTGTATACAAATCAAAATTTAATTAAAGAGTTCCAGTTTTTTGTTGTTGTTGTTTTTTATATATAATACTAGTGACCGTATTAAATTTGATATTATATTTTATCACGTACTTAAGTTAACCTTTTACACCATGAGCATAATTATTGTGAAAATTTTTCATTAAAAAGCCTCCTGTTACAAGTTCAAACTACACTGAAACTATGAATAATGCTTCAATACTGATGAAACTTGGCACAAATGTTGATTGGACCATAGCCTCTGTAACAGCATGCTCAATTGTAAATTTCCTGTTACAATGGCAACAGGGGGACATCTCAAAATTGCGTAAAATCACTATTTTGCAATGTTTTTTTCCATCAAAACTTATTTCAAAGTGCTGCAACTTCTTAATGAATTGAGATAGAGTAAAATACTTTTCAGTGTTATTTGCTAGTTAATGTAAGATCGACCTGAGGCCATTTTTAGCCTGTCACATGTCCAAAAAATTTTCTTGGCGATGAGGGAGACTACTGCCCCCTTCAACCCCCCCCCCCCAAACCTGGCAACCCCATGATGTACCATTTTGACTGGGGGCAGTGCCGAAAAAGTAATCACTTTTTTAACAATATTTCTCAAACGACAAACAGTGTTTGGAACCTAAATAGGGCATTTTTTCACTGTTTGAGACCTCAAAGAAAGGGGGACAAAAAGCCGTCAAAACATGTCTATATCATCAGTATATGAGGAAAAGGTTAATTACTGTTATTACAGTCTTTGATTTTATTATTTTGAAAAAATATGCATTTATTTAACAACTTTTGGCACGATTTTCACATGAATTGTTGAATTCAAAATTAAGGACAAGCATTATTTAAGTATAATCAGTGTCTATTCGAGGAGGGGCGATGGGGGATTCATAAGTTCCTTAAGCAAAACCCGCCCACATGTATACAGGCAGCGTTTTTTTCCAATACTTTGGGACTGGTGCCGGTACCAGACTGATTGGGAAAAAATGCGTTAGTTTGACTTAAATTGGGATTTTTTATTATGCATTTTTTTCAGCTACAAATAAGATATGTCATCATGAACAAATATAATTAACAGCTTCCACTGTCTAGGTAGAACTATTGAGTGGTGATTTATATGAATATCTTGGATTATAATTATTTTAGAGAAATCTCATGGCCTTTTAGGAATTTTGAACAGCCATTTTGGGAATTTAAACATTGGAAATTGGGAATTTTAATGCCTATTTTCTATTGGGAACAGTGCCTTTTTAGGGTAGTAGTTATATAAAGAAAAAAAACACTGACAGGTAAAATGGCCCAATGTTTATAGCGGTGAAAGTGGTATAAATCAGACATGGGGCGATTACTTGACAATTGTAATCGATTAAATTATGATTATTTGTTAAAATGCTTGATTAAATTAAATTACTGATTACTCTATTTTGACATTGTAATTGATTAAATTACTGATTACTGACAGGAGTAATCAGATTACATTTATGATTACTGATTACATGTACTATAAATTGTATTGGATTGGATTTATTTACATTCGAAGGTTAGTCATTTGTTTTTTTTGCTGCACATTGATGCAAAAATGTTTAAATTTACTGTCTGCATATCTTTTGACTCAAAATATTGTTTTTGTAATAAATTACGATGGTTTATATAGCGCTTCAAAATCGCTGCACGTTTTGGTAAAGGAACTTATGAAGAAGTCGATAAGACGTTGGAGTGTACGTAGTACCAACGGAAATGTCTTATGTTATAGGACTAATAAAACAGTTATCTATATAACACACGAAATGGTAAAATTGTACCCCAGTGCCCATTCCAATAATTCTCTTGAAAGGATTTCAAAAGATATATATTAAACTCTCTGATAATTAATCAAATATTAATAATAAAAAATAGGGGATGAGATAGGGAACGAGTTGACCACGGCACGGGACGAGTTGACTCGAAAACAGTAATCAAACAGTGACAGTTCATCTTCATACATGTGAACCCTCCTACTTTAAGCGGGAGACTCCCACTTTCTGCAGCCATATTTTCACAGGTTTTTACTTAAAATAAGGGGTATTTTCACAAATTAAAAAAATCTCCCTATTTTTGATGTCAAAACTTCCTTCTTTGTTTATTGCAAATTCTAAAATTTCCCTCTTTTTGGAGTAAAATCTCCCACTTGATCAGCAAAAAAGTTCACATGTATGCATCTTTATTATAAATTTTACTTGGAAGCATTCTATAGTAAATCTATAATGGTATAACAAACTTACATAGATGTTCAAGTTCTTTGGATACTTTGACACACGGATGTAATCAGATAGATTAATCTGAGCAGTTTATTGCTTGTCCATTCAACAGGAAACCAGGATGTGGACTGAGGGAATACTGGGACGTCCCATCTCACCAAGGTCAAACACCACTATATTTTGGTTAGGTCAGTGACCACCACACTCCTCCCCGTCCTATTTGAAAAGGCTGGCTGCCAGATAAGACCTTTATAGTATCTAATCCAGCACTCAATACGAGCCTATTGAATGATTTCCTGGATCCTTACCAGTACTGGTACTGTACCCTGCTCTAGTACATGTACCAAATAGGTGATTATCATAAACCAATCACCTGAGCAGCTCGGCTATGACTTGATCAGCTGAGCAGCCCCACTAGGACTTACTCAATTACCTGAGCAGCCGACTATGCAGAATTCTACGACTCACTCAATCACCTAAGCAGCCCACTATGCAGAATTCTACGACTCACTCATTAACCTGAGCAGCCCACAAGAATTTATTAGAATGAATTGTCACCAGTAGCACCCTGAGAAGAATTAACCAACATTAGTCTCTAACAATCACCAACAAACATAAAACCTCCTTCAGGTCTAATTGATTCACTGAAGACTTATCTCTTACTACTGCCAAAACACTCTAACCCACTCATGCACTGGTTCACACTCAGATGCAAGGATATGCAGCTTATATCTAGAGACTACCGCAACACCTATCACATCTACCAGCTTAACAGCATGAGCATCCTGAGGATTATACCCAAATCCCTCAATATAAGACCTTATCTGGACAATAAACGATCCAAACTCAGATTTATATTCAAATAACCATCAAGAAGTAACCTTCACCCACAAGCTGTGAAACCACATTAAATAACCACAATGAATCATAAATCTCCAGTCTTATATTCTTATATCCCAAAAAGACAACACATTTCCTTTGATAACTGTTATAACTCTGACATTTATTTCAAGAGCTCAACCTAACAGATAACATCATGACAATTACTACTTCAGTTCTGCAAGATGCTCATTCTATTTCTGCCATAAGAAACCCCCAACCACGCAATCCAATATTGTACTAACATTTGTAATGATCACTATTAACAGATGCCTGCATCCAAATAGATCCCATACAAAACTGTCATATAAATTGCTTGTCGGCCTAACAAGCAACCTACCAAATGACATTATAAGGTCATCTAGCTTAGAAGAGACGGGAACTGCGTGCTTGGTGACCCCCTACATAGCAGTGAACTTAACTGACCAGATGCAACTTGCTTGTCTATATGGGAGCTAACCGTCTCTTAATGGTGACTATATTGTTACCAAACATCTCAGTTCTGGGACTCAGATTTCTGAAAATAACACCAGAATGGACTCTAGGGCCTTTTGAAACATAATCACCAATAAGCTCGCAACCATTATTACTAAGATGATTCCTAGATAATGAGCTTACACTCCTTGGATTCGTTCCCAAGGTTCCTAATTACCAAGACTGATTGTAACACACTCAATGACAGATGCGATTTTAACCTGAAACCCGTAGATTTTAGTTCCTTCCCTGGCAGGGCTTCCCAAGACCCTTAGTGACCCAAGAGATCTTTACTTGCCAATAGCACCACATCATACATCGTCAATAAAGGATCCCCCAATTCATGGGCCATCATATACTAATTTGACACCTACCGCAAGGCAATTTACCCCAAATCGATTTCCCACATGGTACCAGACATTACATCATTTTACCTACCATGATTACGATTTGTTCTGGGTCCCAAATCGATTTCCCACATGGTACTAGACATTACATCATTTTACCATGATTACGATTTTAATCTGTGCTGCAGCAACTTACACCGGGATAGATCCTTCAACCATCCCGCCAAATTACCTTGTGGCTCCCAAAACCAATAAACACCTTATATGAGTGATCAGTCTATGGTATGCAATCAACTAAACTACCAGATAAAATTAAATTACCCCATGGTAGTTCTTCTCTGATTAACCACCAGATAAAATTTAATTACCCCAATGGCGGTTCCTATCTGCAGCTACCCTCACCCCCACCAGTAACTAACTGGTAAGGCAGGCTTTTTATTCCCCAAGACTTATTCCAACTACAAGGAAATTTCCCTCAAGTTGATTTCCTACATGGCAAGTCCCTGGATCCAAACACCATGTTTACAACCTGATTTTACCCCCAGATCGATATCCTACATTTTATTCTATCCAATTCCCTTCCCCCCTTTGGGATTAGAAGAAACCACATATTAGAATAAACATGATATCGACCCAACCTTGTAGCCTTAAAACACCTAAAAGCATTTTATAAACTTTTAGGGCTACCTTTGACCTTAGCCTAATCAACTGTGAAAAGCCTTCTCAAACTTATCTTCAAGTTCCTCAATAGCCTCTATCACAGTTTCCCAAGTCACAGAAGAGTTATCTTCATCAGAATGAACTTCATAACTATCAGTACTGACTGAAGAAACCCTCTTTCCTTCACACCTTTCACTGCGTTGGCTCCTACCAAAAATGGCCTCATGGCCAGTGTCTATTCTAGGACGCGCGATTGCGCGATTCACGCTAGTATTTAACAGATCGCGCACAATTCAAAATCATGTGCGTGAAAATCGCGCATCTATAAAAAAAGTTAATAAAACCGTAAAACTTCCATCCCGCATTATATTTGGTTGTTTTATTTACATTTACACCGAAAACCGAAGGGAGGTAACTGTAAGCTAATTATAATAATTTAGTACCGTATGGTACTGGTTACGTGAGTTGACGGAAATTGACGGAATGTTCCGTATCAACCGGAACTAGTGTGCTAGGTCTGACAGTTGGGCGCCATTTTAGTGTAGTAAATAATCAAGAAAAATGAGGCAATTCCTAGCTTGGCTACGATCTATACGTGAAAGATACTTCGATTATTTGTATTGCTAATCCCTTTATAATCAATCGCGGCAGTTCTGTAATAATTTGTTTTCGTTTAAAAATTCAGGGGGGACAACTTCTGCTGCCTTAAATAAATATTATCGTTTTAATTATTTCATCGGTGTAAACTTAATGCAGACGATTTAACATTGGCAGTTTATATTGGCACCCTTTGATTTTGAAAATCGCCCCCTTTTTTGAAATGGAGGGGGGAAAATCACCCCTATTTTTCAATTCCTAGAATAGACACTGCTCATGGCTCTGTTGGTACTTACGGACCAATAATTTGGCTTGTTCGACCGTGGATGGATCATGCATGTAAACATGGAACCCAGCTTGTTGGTCTAATAAACCATGGCAAAACCTACTTATAACCTGACTTATTATAAATTGGGCACATACCCCCTGAAAGGCTTTATCGGCTAAGGCACGTAACCTGTCTGCAAAATCATCAAGAGATTCGCCCGGGTTTTGAAAAGCTTGATAAAATTGCCCTTGAGCTGCCTCTGGTGAGATTTGGTCACCAAACCGAGCCTCCAGTTTATCGTATAAAGAAGCATACGATTGCACTTCACCACTATTATGTAAATTACATAATAATCTAAAGCTTTGCCCTCTAACGTCAAGCACAACGCACACAGTTTATCCTCATTTGACCACATGGCACATCTCAGCATATCTGGAAAACTTAAAAAATGAAAGCTTCCCAACTGCAATTGCCATCAAATGTTAAATTCGTGGGCATTTTATCTAACGATAGTCTTGACCTGGCTGTTACAGGATAAAACTGGTTCCCATCCCCCATGAGATAATGGCTCAAACTCATTATCCCCCAATGAGGTGGTCCCCTGTTCTTTCCATAGAGACCGCTCAGACCCAAAATCAGCAGGAATAGCCTGGGGAACCCTAGGTGTGGTAAACATATCCCCATTATACCCATGCTATCCCACCCATCACAGGTCTACCTTCTCTAACGCCCAAATACTGAAGTGCTTTTCACCCCAGCTGACCCTCTGGCCACATCAGGCTTTACTGCCCCAGGCTTTGGTTCCGAAAAGTCTAAAAATGACTGATCCAAGGACCTAAATGACTTATCCAAGGACCCTTCCCCTTTAAAAGCTTCAGTATGATGCTCTAAAGCCTCCTTTTTCCTAGGGAATTCTTCCAAAACCTCATTTGGTGAAAAATCTATCATATCTAATTCCTCACCCGTAAACTTTTTACAACATATTGCAGACAATATGTCGCCTGTGATATCACCGCCAGCCCCCCTTATAGATAGGAGAATAGCAGCAACCTTCTTACTAACCCCCGGAATTTTAACCAACTCGTCCTCAGAAGCAAAATTAATCGCAACCTTAGATTTATTGGTGTGGGGGCCTTTTGTGTCTGACCTATCCATCGCCATTGCCATATTAATAATTACTTATTACAATATTTTTATTACAAATAATTAAAAATATCAGGCAATTACAGGTCATGCAAAGTACCACTTACCGTTACTGTAAACCAATTTCCGAAATAAAATTTATTTTATTCCACACACCTGCACAATACTACAATATTGTGCCTTACAGTAACTATAAAAAGCAATATAAAAAAAAAATATCGCTCTTTGAATTATGCAATATAAAAAATATCACACCTCTTTTTGCCTGAAAATAAGCAATATTATGAAAATATCACTCTTAAAAAATTCCTCTGCAAATTTCTTTCAAAAAATTGCTAGGTTTTGGAACAACAATAGAAGAAAAAAAATATGATACCGGTATCAAAATATCCTAATTAGAAACCACAATGGTACAAAAACCTAAGTGGGTCCGAAGACTGGTAGCGTCTTAAAAATACAGGCCGCAGCTAGAATTGAATCACCGCTGCCACCATTATAGTAAATCTATAATGGTATAACAAACTTACATAGATGTTCAAGTTCTTTGGATACTTTGACACACGGATGTAATCAGATAGATTAATCTGAGCAGTTTATTGCTTGTCCATTCAACAGGAAACCAGGATGTGGACTGAGGGAATACTGGGACGTCCCATCTCACCAAGGTCAAACACCACTATATTTTGGTTAGGTCAGTGACCACCACAATTCCCTTTAAGTTCATTTTATACAAGTTTTACTCCTGAAAAATATAAAGGGGTCTGATCCAGAAGATTGCACGAAACGTTCTTGAAATTTAAAAAAAAAATAGATCCACGATAGTATTTTGCCTCGCGAAAATATGTGACACTATTCTAGTAACTGAATTAGCTTACTGGTTTTGCGGTGTGTAAACTTTCCTTTGTCATGGCATCCATAAGTCGTTCTCTTTCTTCATGATACCGCCTTTGTTGCTCTAAAAGTGTCTCCATTTGGTCTATATATCCAATAAAATTTGATTGTTTGGTAAAACTACATCCGGGACTTTACCTCTTTCAAAGCTATACGCCAAATTCGAAACTTACAACGTAAGTAAAACGTAGTGATATTATATATTCACAACAAGTAAATTTTAATTAATTTACATAGACATTTAACACTCAAAATATTTGTTCTGTTAGAAAGAACCTTAATGTGCGACACATAATAGGCCTTCATTTCTGAATATCAGCTCATCACATATAAGGTCCTCAAACTGCATGTATGACTTCGTGGCGCAACGGTAGCGCGTCTGACTCCAGATCAGAAGGTTGCGTGTTCAAATCACGTCGGGGTCAAAAAAAAATTTTTTAATTCAATTAAATTTATATGACACGTACCAGTTTTATCCAGATTTCATTCTTTATTATTTTATTTTAAACATGTTCAAAAACTAATGCACTAGCTGCATGGGGCTTCTATAACTAGGGAGACTGGGGCAAAAAGGAACACGCGAAGCTACGAAATTGCGATAGTTTAGTCTAATCTTGTTATATTATAATCATTTATAGAATTGTTTTGATATATCTCAGAGTTAAAAATCCTCTTCATAGTTATCAACCACACAACAATAGATACAATACACTTAAAGGCTGTTCTAACTCCACATTTTCATCTTTTATAATCTTTTTTATTTAAAGTATTAATTTCATCAATTTTCGTCTGCCGTCATAAAACGGGTTGATAAATATTTTGGCATGTATAAAATTGAGTGTAAACCAGTCTAACTATCTGTTCTGAGATGCACGTGAATTTCGTGCAATTTGTATCTTGTCATTATACAAAAGTTGTACACATACAAAATTGATAAGAAATTGCTGTGTATTGACTTACATGTCAGAAAATCATAAAATTATTGAAATATTGAAATCTATTAAACGATGCGGCGAATGACACCAGAGGAAAGAGCACGTGCGGTTGGGACGGTCATTGTGGGGTTTCTAGCAGAAATAAGTGTCTCTCGTTATCAATAAAAAAATATCAAATGTAACTTCGTGTAAATTTTTTGCATCTTATCAATCTCTTAGTTAAATGTATATAACCAAAGTTGCAAAAATGAATCATTGAATTCAAACCGTTTGTCCAAAACATTCTATTTTAAAGAAGCATAGGCAGGATATTTTGCACTTTTAAATAAGTCATGTACATATATGAGCCGCGTCATGACAAAACCAACAGAATGGGTTTGCGACCAGCATGGATCCAGACCAGCCTGCGCATCCGCGCAGTCTGATCAGGATCCATGCTGTTCGCTATCAGTTTCTCTACTTGTTATAGTCTGACTTTGTAAGCGAACAACATAGATCCTGATCAGACTGAAAATGTGTTTAAAAGTAGTATTTAGTGAAATAACCAAAAGGAAGCAATTTGCAAATTATCAATGGCACTTACAGCCCACGTAAATTATGAAAAAGAGGACAAAATATGCAAAAATTGCCCTTACTGCGTTAGTAACGCAGTAGAAATAATTATAAATACTGAAAAATCAGTAATTAATCACACATAACATGTAAATTATTACTTGAATCTTGAATAATTTTACTTTTCCTAAAATCTTAGTACATTTTTCTCAAATTTGTTTTTATTGAAATATTTCGCTCATCTGGAGGCATGCGGCTTTAAATCAGTAATTAATACACGCAGTCTTCAAATACTTCATAGAATTTTAGTCATGTTCATAATTATACTTTTCCTATACTCAGAAAATTATCAAACAGATATACTAACAGGCCAGCCTGGAAAATGTCCTTCAGCAAAATTTAACTCAAAATCTGTCAACACACTATCCATCTCCTGAAAAGAAAATCATGTAAACAATTATATCATCATTTACTATTTCAAATCTATACACCAGTCATATTTGAGCCGCGTCACGACAAAACCAACATAATGGGTTTGCGACCAGCATGGATCCAGACCAGCCTGCGCCGCATCCCTACAGTCTGATCAGGATCCATGGTGTTCGCTTACCAAACCTTTTACAAGTAGAGAAACTGATAGCCCTGATCAGACTGCTCAGATGTGCAGGCTGATCAGGATCCATGCTGGTCGCAAACGCACTATGTTGGTTTTGCCATGACGCGGCTCATATATTCTTCTTTACAGACCTTTGTCATAACACTCCAGCGAAATTAGAGAAGTAGCCTTTTGATACCATCTCTCTCTCTCTCTCTTGACCAAAGTGATACATTTTATATTTAACACATTAAATTTATGGTGTGCAGCAATGGAAAGTTTAATAAAGTGATGTTTTTGTTTTGTTTTGGCAAAGTTTCAAACTTACATTATCATTTTGACCAATTTAATAGCAGACGAATGTTCAATATCAAGACAATGGCTGCCGAATTTCATTCTGGAAATTGTGTATTCTTGGAAATTTACCACATTAGTGATTACTTAAATAAATAAAAACAATAAGCATACATTTCAAGAAAGTATGCACATTGTATTATCTACATCTGCTATGATGAACTTACTCTGAAGAACAACAAATTTTGATAGGCAAAGATTGTTGCTGAGAGTTGTTCTAGGATGGTTATATTCAGTACCTAATCGTAGTAAGGAAAATACATGTATTGAACTTGTTGAAGAGGTTATTGCTTCACAGATTTTTTTATTAAAATAATGGCAGAACCTCCAGATAAACGTCAACGGACTAATTTAACTTTTGAACAAAAAAAAACAAAATCATTTCATATAAAAACAGTAAAAAGGATGTTACACAAAGTGATATTAGTGTTCATTTTTCAAATGTATGGAACATTAGAATAGGGAGATCGACAGTGATTGACAATTTAAAAAACCAAGAGACAATAACTAACTCTCCAAAATCAAAACGTGTGCGTCATCGAAGTGAAAAATATGGAAATCTTGAAAACGCATTGTTCATGTGGTTTAACGATATGATAGCTTGAACGATGCGATAAACTATTTAGAACAACAGGGTACCCTCTTCGATCTGAAATATTTAGACTCTCCCTGGGCGTTGATGTCTGCTGTAAACAATACAAAATCAAACGAGGTGCAGAAAAGTATCAAAGACTTTTTTCGTTAATTGACAAAGACAACAAACAGTGTACAATCAATTTTTAAAGGTTTAACTTTTAAAAGTCCTATCATTGTATGTGTGTTTTACTTTCTAAAGTTTTATCATTTTCATATCAATCTTTAACTATTTTAGTTGTTATTATTTTAATAAAGTTGTTGTATTATGTGTATGATATGTAATGTGTATAATAAAGTGAATACATAAACACAAAAATCTCTTTCATTATAGATGTTTATTATAGATCTAAATACATAATGTCCAGATACCAGTGAATAAGCATATCATTAATGATGAAATTCAATATACTGACAAATTCGATATACTGACATATCATTTGGGAACCAACGGTGTCGTTGTAATGAGTCCTGACTGTATTGAATTTGTTGAAGAGGTTATTGCTCTACAGATGGCCACAATTCAGAGGTTACACTGTAGTTTGTTTGAATCAAGAAAAAATGTTGTCTTTCGTTCATTTTTGTTTGATATATTGCTTTTCTGTGTGTTTCTGACATTTAAGATCATTGACATGTAAATTTCTGGTACCAGGAGTAAAGATATGTAGAATTCACATACTCTGAGCTGTCATTAATCAGGGGTGGGGGGGGGGTTAACAAAACAAGAAAGTGACACCAAACATTAGATATACAAAACTGACTTATGTAGGAAATAAACACAATGATTACACACGAAGAACAATATTTATTGCTAAAGAATAATGAAGAATATAGAACTGAACAAATTTCAGATACATGTACTGAACATTTAAGTAATAACTATTATTTAACGCTCCAATTCCACGTGGTTTATGTCCGGGTAACGCTATACATTAGGTCGACTCGTTTTATTACTTTGATTCAGCTATAGCTTCGGCCTCTACACATATATCCACTACGGATTCCATAAGAGTTGACATATCATTAGACATAGCATCGACAACCTGAAATATAGATGTATTTGTTTGACACAGGTGACAATGCTGACAATCAAGAAGTATCTTAAGAATCATATCATCACTTACAGTCGTTGTCATTCTGATTAGTATAGGTTTTTTTGTACATACAAGTTTAATACGAAACTATATATTTGAAACATTTTTACACCGCTTTTATGAGTCAGGGAAGCCATTTGGAAACCCGGCACATTTATTCGAACCTTTATAATATTAATGTTAGCTTCGGTACAAAGTGAAAACAATCAGCAGCCGATCGCAAAATGACAACAAAGTCAATAATTTTTTTTATCATAGCCACTTCCACCTTTATATAAATTGACCTATTGATTTAGTAGTTATGTTCATATCATTTTCAGTAATTCCTATACAGTAATATTTCGTTAACACTTGTTCATATCCACCGAGTCCAATCGTTCACTATGTTTCCCAGGCGGAGAACGCATGAAGAGATCAATTTTACAGGTGGAAAACCGATACTGTGGTAAGAAAATTGTCTTCAATTTCTTTGTAAATGCATATTTCACAAAACTTTATAGCCTATTCTGATCTCGTATGATTACTTTATCCGACAGGCATCTCAAACTCGCCAAATCTTTGTTAACTTATTAGATCATTATCGACAACTGCACAAGAAAAGTCACAAAATTGGTAAAATCGCTCTTTGATAGCCAATAACTTGACATCCAAGCAAACTTCTAAACATTTGTATCGCTCTAAAGGTTCTTTATTAACATATCCTCATCCACCAAACGCCTGTTCTATTTCTATTCCGTATTTTTGGAGTATAATATCGTTTAAGCGAATTTTCAAAATGAACGCATGAGCCGAACTTTTCATGTGGTTTTATCAGATTGCAAAATGAACGCATGAGCAGGCGGATTTTTTGGTTACTCCAGTTTTCATGGATATCTCACATGTTATCGATCACTGAACCTTAGAATTCCAAAATTTTCGTTCCGAATGTTTGAGCAAACAGAATTCCTATTTTCATACCTTATGACGAATTGCTTATAAGCAATAGATGAAGGTCTGTTCGGTTCTGTGAAAATATAATAAATTCCTATTGCTAAAACTTTGAGTAAAATATTTGCAAAATACAACATCATTGGTTGATGGTATGTTATAATTAAAGATGTAACATACACTTAAAGATCCTGTGACTCAAAATTTTATGTTCTTATATGAAAAATCTTTGGCTTAAATAAAGAATTAACAATGTTAAAAGTTACAGAAAACCTTTTTGATAAGGATATTGCCAAAATTTAAAATTTCCGATAATAAAAGGAGATAATTAGAAATCTGTTTTTTGGTAAAAAAAAATCAGTTTTGCATTCAAATAAAAATTTCAAAACATTTTTCCTCAAGAAAGATCATATAATGTGTTTAATAATGTCAACTTCTTAAGTATATGTTTTTCATAAGAACTAACTTTATATACAACTTTCGCAAGGATGTTACATCCTTAACCTTTTCCCTTATATAAGCGTGTTTCGACGGCTTTTTGCCCCCACCCCCACACTTTTTGAGGCCTCAAACAGTGAAAAAATGTCCTATTTAGGCCCCAAACACTGGTTTTCGTTTGAGAAATGTTGTTAAAAAAGTGACCACTTTTTCGGCGCCGCCCCCCATCCAAATGTTACATCAGGGGGTTGCCTGAGTGGGTTTGAAGGGGGGCGGAGTCCCCCTCATCGCCAAGAAAATTTTGGACATGTGACAGGCTAAAATGGCCTGAGGTCGATCTTAGGATAACTAGTAACAGACACTGAAAAGCCTTTTTCTCTATCTCAATTCATTGATAAGTTACAGCACTTTAAAATCAGTTTTGATGGGGAAAAAACAATGCAAAATAGTTATTTTTGGCAATTTTGAGACGTCCGCCCGTTGCCATGGTAACAGGAATTTCACGATTGAGCATGCTGTTACAGAGGCTATGGTGTAGCCGAGTTTCATCAGTATTGAAGGAAGCATTTTTCATAGTTTCATAGCAGTTTGAACTTGTTACAGGAGGCTTTTCAATGAAAACGGCCATTTTTCGCAATATGCTCATGTGGTAAAAACATACAGGATCTTTAAGCAAGAATATATATATCAACTTCCTTACAACAAAATGAACATACAAGAAAATGTTGAAATAACACATATTTTTTTAGGTTCATTATAAGTTTTTTCTTTTAGAAATAATACACTTTTTATTTTAATGAAGAATAGGCAAAGTATTTATCAAAATGTGTTTCAAATTACCTCCCTTTATTTACAGAACTTTAAATTCGATAATATCTATGTAAGATTTGTAATATTGGTAATAATTTATTTGAGTATCATGTTTATCATATTAGACTATTAAAGTTTTGAGGTACAGGGACTTTAAAAGAGTATACATACGCTATTATTTGTCATTTGTCCTTTGTTTTATTTGTTGTTAAATATTATGCATGTGTGATAGTAATTTTATACAATTATTCAGGATTCCTGATTTAATTATCAAAGTACAATGTACATATTTTGTAAAACAATTATTTACAATGCGTGCAAAAATCAAGGATTTTTCCAAAGTGTCAAGTAAGATTATTATATAAATCAGCTTAATGTCGTCAGTATTTGATTTTATTCAACATGACAAGACTTAGTTATCTCTCCGTTTTATGTATTAAACAATATTCATTTGTTTAAGTTATTCAATAAGAGGTTGTTCATTAAAGCTGATAATATGTGTTACAAACGAGGAATTACTTCAATTTCACACGATCTTTCCCAACAGACCTCGTACTTTTGCTTATTAGCATATATATACATACAGCGTACAAAGTATATTTTAATTTGTAAAAAAAGTGTCTCTCACTTATTTGAAATAAAATTTGAAATTTTTAAAGTTTGAATATGTTAAATTTGTTAGATAATTAGGAAAAACTTGGGTTTTTAAAAATACCACCTGCTCATGCGTTCACTTTGCAAACCTATGAAACCACATGAAAAGTTCGGCTCATGCGTTCATTTTGAAAATTCGCTCAAACGATATTTACTCCAAAAATACGGAATAGAAATAGAACAGGCGTTTGGTGGATGAGGATATGCTAATAAAGAACATTTAGAGCGATACAAATGTTTAGAAGTTTGCTTGGATGTCAAGTTATTGGCTATCAAAGAGCGATTTTACCAATTTTGTGACTTTTCTTGTGCAGTTGTCGATAATGATCTAATAAGTTAACAAAGATTTGGCGAGTTTGAGATGCCTGTCGGATAAAGTAATCATACGAGATCAGAATAGGCTATAAAGTTTTGTGAAATATGCATTTTCAAAGAAATTGAAGACAACTTTCTTACCACAGTATCGGGTTTCCACCTGTATAATTGATCTCTTCATGCGTTCTCCGCCTGGGAAACATAGTGAACGATTGGACTCGGTGAATACTAGTAATCTGAATACATGTACCGGGTATCACGATACTTAGTTGTGGGCACTCAGCACGGACTTAAGATTAGGGTTGTATGAGTTTGTTCATGTGGAACAGTAAAAAGTAGACTATCATATACCCGCAAGCACTAGACATAAATACACACGATTGTCGCCAATATGATGTATAATTAACTTTAATATCATTTTCGTGATGTTCAAAGATAAAGAGGACTTTTTCCTGAGGTCTTCATCTACCAGTAAAGCTAGAAAGTCACCGTATGACCTTTACAGTGACGATGTGACTTAATATCAATCAAAACAAATCCCCAATTAATACAATTATTTTCAGCGTTTATATTTATTTCAATGACCTGAATATGTAAATATCTTAAATTTTCTCTTTTATTTCTTTTTCATGTTTTTTACAGAGCGGAATTCTAATTATAATAAGCCATGTAGATGTACAGTTTTTGTCACAGGAGACGACTACAATGAACTTTCACAGCTGTTAGTTTAAATAATGTATTCAGCATTCCTGTGTTGATTGATTTGAATTAAACATTTTAAAACCGAATAAAAACGTAAAACACTTTTGTTCAATACTTCGTTATAGGATACTTACGCCTTTCTTTACTGCTTTATCCAGTTGCTCACAAAATTCTAGAAAATTATCAGCGGCTGTTTCATCATCATCATCATTATCATCATCATCGACATTGGATTTGTTTTTTCCACCTTTCTTTCCACCTTTTTTCCCACCTTTCTTTCCACCCTTCCTTTCTTTGCCATTCTTTTTACGCTTAAATTGTTAAAAAGATATACATGTATTTAGAGATACCATTGACGAAAAAAAACAACTTCTTTTAACGATCATAACAATGTTTATATATACTTTGCGTTAAAAAATAATCATTATGTTTCTGGCATGACATAGCCTTCCATTAAATCAATGTAATACCCTTTCAATTACATTTATATATATAAATAATATCTTTCTTTACATCTTATAAAATTCCCTTTCCAATTAGTAACTCATTAGCCATCAGTCACTACTCACTAGTTTGATGTTAAATTTACACAAAATGATATGTTGTGAAATGAAACTGGCCTTAATAATCATATGGTTAACTTTCTACTTCTGAAAAAATGATACAAGTAGGCCTACATCCAAAAGTTGTTTATATGCGCACATGCTCATCTAACGTTCTACCTCAGCTATACGATACATAAAGAAAATTTATTTGGCTGCTCTAAATCACCAAGCGCTTTAGATTAACCTTTTTAGATTGATATCTCTAGTTGTAATTTGAATGAAATAATTTATAGAAATAAGTGTTTTCAATTGAAACGATCAATTTAAAAAGCAATAAACTCTTACTGTGTCAATTTGCGCCGGAACCTCATCGACAGTTTCCGTATCGTCATCAGTACTAACAGATCCACTATCGACCGATTCCCCATCATCATCGTCGGTACTAACGGAATTATCATCGGCAGATTCCGTATCGGCAGATTCCGTATCGTCTCCTGCATTATCGGTGACTCCAGTGACAATTTGCGCGTTGCTCTCTATTTCCGAAAGAGAACTACATGCTTGATCGAGGTTCTTGAATACGTCATCAAAGTTAGTGTCGATGTTTCCAATAGAGCCGTCTTCCAAATCATCACAAAGGTCATCAAACCGTTTTTCTAATTGTTTCTTTGCTTTATCTACTTTCTTCTGTTTCTGCAAATAAAATGGTTTTGGTAGTAGTCCAAAAAGTTGGTAGTTATTGTAAATTTATACATGTGTATACAATGTAGTCCTTTTGATGAGTACTCGTGTATTTGCTCAGTCGAAGGCTGTGGTATTCGTTAAGGGTTAGGGTTAATGAACGAAAAACTTCGTTACAGATAGTGCATAAAAAGAGCCTGAAAGTTAAATTATGTCAACCAGAGTCTTTCAAATTGATCTATTTGTGAAAGACCCTGTACGTGTCAACTGATAAGTACCTTTCTTTAATGTGTTTACTTAATCTTGTAATCTCCTACACACATAATTTTCAAATGAAACGTTTTATTATATTCTTGCTTGTGGCATGAAAATTATCATATTTCTTTCGTGGCTACCGCCACTCGTGAAATATTTATTTTCATACCACTCGATGAAAATAAATCATGTATTTATAGGTAAAACTTGATTATCCTCTATTTATTATTATTATTATTATTATTATTATTATTATTATTAAAGCGAAATCTGATTAAATTATTTTATATATTGTATTTATCGTATCGGGTAAATGTACTTACTGCAGGTGCAGAAGCGACAAATATGAGGCAGCAGGCCAGCAAACCAATAACTATCGTATTCATCTGCAAAAGTAAGATATTAAATAATGAAACAATTATTCAATATTTTATGCGAAGGGTGATTCATATTAATATGTACAACTTATCCAGGAAAAATTTGCTTGACAGATTAAAATATTTATTTTATACACAATGTTTATTTTTTCGTTTTGACTTTACACAAAGTTTCACATTTTCATGGTTCTCATAATATGTTAGAACTTTTACGTCAATTGATCTATTAAAGCTATAGACTTTGTTTAACAACGAATACATCATTCAAGGTGGAAGGCAATAGTTATGAGAGGTCAGGTCTGAATAATAAGTACTTAATCTAATAATCGAACTTCATTTTCCGTTCATGGGCGTCCAAGTTGAAATCGTGAAATCGTGAAATTTGAAATCGTGAAGATCAAAACGCGAATTCGCCAAGTTGAATTCGTTAAGTTAGATTCGTGAAACTAAAATCGTGAATTCATCAAGTTGAAATCGTGAATTCGTGAAGTTGAAATAATGAATTCGTGAAGTTGGAATCGAGAATTCGTGAATTCTATTTGTTGAGCATTGTGAAGTTGTAATGTCCCTCGTCGGTCTTTCGTATATTTGCTATCAGGTCCTACCTTCAAAATTAAATTAACCAGTGGAGGTAACCTGAAGAGTTTATCTTCTTCAGATTTCATGTTTATACTGATTGACTGGTGGCGTTCTTCGACCTGATCAATGCCTAACACATTTAAAACAAGAAACCAATCTAGAAACCGTGCAGTATGATATTACACTAGGTACGCAAATATAACATAAGGTACGAAAATATAATATTAGGTACGCAAATACAACATAAGGTACGCACATGTCACAAATTTCACAGAATATATTTTACTTATTTTCAGAACTATAAGAATGAATTGCTTTACACCTTTGACTACGCATTAATTCCGACTGAATTACACTTAGCTCAATGTCTAGACCTTTTTCTAACTTTTATAAAACGCTACATATGCAAAAGGTTTGTTTGATAGATGAAATATTTCTTTTGATATTAAATTTTGCTGGTCTTCACAATCAATTAGTATTTTAAATATTTTAGCTAGATAGCATTAATTCTAAACCACCCCTATTAGTTTGTTCAATTTTGATAACTAAAACGTCGATTAATATATAACTTCCTAAATAATTTCTTTTTAATTAATTTGGCAATATATTTGCTTGAAGCGTTACCCTTCCTTATTTTTTTGAATCTGTAACAGTACACAATTTATTTGTTTATGAAACGACAGAGAGATATCAAAATGAAAGTCAGTAATTATTTCGTTCTTTTTTTATTTTTATTTATTTATTTATTTATTTATTTTACACTAGCTTTTAAGAATTCGAAGTAACTGTGGATATACTTTAAAACAAAAAAAATCTCGATAAATGAAATTTGTATAAAACTCTAATAGACCGAGATAATTGGAGAAAAAATCGTGTCAGCGATGTCCATCCGAATTATCAGTGCTATGTAGTTCGTAGTTTACATGATAACTTACACAAAAAAGCATAAAATAAAAATATTGTTTACCTTTTTTAAAAAAAAAAATTAAAAGAAAATTCACAAACTTACCTTTAAACCTTTCAAGTCTTGCAGTAAGTTTTTTCTAAGGTCAAGCAGGTATATATACCCGTAACGCCGACACAAGGAGTTACCCCAACGGCAACAACGTGATGTTCCATTTTATATCTACAATTAAATGGAAGTTTGCTCTCACGTTTATATGAACATTTGTTTATTCTTTTTTCCATCCGATTAAATATCGTGTCTTAATCGTTCCTATTTTACATAAAATCTGTGATATTATCAGCGCATAAATTGGTGTCCTCAAAAAATAAACATTCTGGTATGATTTTCGCCAAGTATTTGACCGGTGAAATACTTTTGTTTTGGGTATGTTCTAATTGTTGGACTGGACCTTGACACAAAAAGGACCTATTTTGAAGCTCTAAGATTATTGTAACTTTGTTTTTGTATTTATTCCTTTCATTATCTGTTTACATCAATATTGACATGCAGGAGTGTTGTAAATTCCTATATAAAAGTATGCGATTTATTTCTCCAAACTTTAACAACCCTGGATAGTTACTTATTCACCATTTCAAAGCGTGATATTAATTAAAGTGGTAGTGTCCCATTCGTTAGTGAAGAGACGCTAGTTCGAATCCTGGAAAAGACAATTTGATTCTTGCGTTATTTTTTGTTTTAGATACATTTGGGGGCAACTATTTGGATATAATTCCTCGTACATTTATATAAAAAAATAATAATAGTAATATTCTTTATTTCCTCCAGAAGAAGAGCACATTTTCTTTACAATTATACAATTATATGTTCCTTAAACTTTTCAAACAAAGACTTATTGATTGTTGTACTCAACAATGGTATGAAAATATAACGAATTCTAGTAGATGTTTTCACTATAATAAATTTAAATCACTTTTTTAAATGTTGAACGATACTTATTAATAGAAATACCATTTAAACATAAAAAGGCGTTTTAATTTTCGTTGCTCCAACCAAAATTTTCGTTGCTCCAGACATAATAATATCAAGGGAAGAACGTAAACTTAATGATTAGTATAGATTGTGAATATTTTCTTTATATGTAAAAAATACAAACAAATCCGTGATAAGTATTTATTCAATTGGTATTTTGGCGGAAAAGAACTACATGATTTTTATGTATTAATAGGTACACGTGATATAATCACATTAAGGAAGCTTTATGTTTTATGTATATGTTTTAATGGATAACATAAACAACTAGTCTTTTTACGCATTAATAAACATTGTTAAGGTGACACAGCCATATCACTATTTATTGTTGTATGTATGCTATGTATTTTGGGCTTGAGGCCTTTGAACACAAATAAAGTTATTTGAATCTTGAATCTTATAATGGAACAAGTAAAATATTAACAATGTAAATAATTACAGAATATCTATAGTTAAAGTATGAAGACCATAGATATTTAAATATATACACACATTAATATAATGTATTTATCTTTTTGTAAATAAATAGATGTTAAATAATAATATTGATAAATTGTAAAAAGTCAAGATAAATAGCATTATATAATCGATCAATAAAATAGTTTATTAATGAAATTTTATGAAAGTGAAATAAAATTCTTGTTTTCGTCTATCACATTAAATGAAACAAAACCGCTGAACATTTCAAGTAACTGATTGTCTGCGCTATATGTACAAACTCCATATAGTTATCAATTCAAAGAAATTCATACAGTTTTGCCATAACCCGGGGATATTTTATACTCATTTTTTTCCCAAGTAAATTCGGGAATTTAAACGACATTTTTCATTTAAAGCATGTTTTTTTTTGCGGAAAAAAATAAAACACAGTTTTAAATTTTAAAAACCGAAAAAAAAACCACTTTAAGCCTTTTTGTATTTTCTGAGAAAATACCAGAAGGGTTTATACTTTGAAAGTATCAAAATTTTTCATTGTGCCCAAATTTAGAAACTCTTTTCATAAGACTTTTTTTATGGAAAGGGTCGTTTAAAATATTCTTTTTTTCGGGTATTTTATCGGGAAAATCTACAAAAAAATTTTAAAAAGAAAAACATTTTTCCAATGAAAACTTAAATATACCCAGGGGAAAAACCTTTTTAAATTAGGGGGGGGCCCAAAAACAAAAAAAGTCTGCTTTAAAACCCTTTTTCACCTTAAACTGGGAGGGCGTTGGAAAAGAGTTTTTCCCAAAACCAAAAAAAATCAGTTTTCTCTGTCTATTAAATTCACCAGGGGGTTTTAAAATTTACTTTTTTTTAAGGGGGAAAATAATACAGTACCCAAAAAACTATTTGCTAAAATTAATTTTTTTCCCATTTAAAAAATAGAAAGTTTTAATGAATATATATTCTCGGGAACACCCCCCGGGCCCCTTCAAGCAATCGGCACCGGGGGCGATTTCAAGATTTTTCAATCCCCGAACTTGACGGAGATTCCCGATTGTTACTTTTGGAAATCCCAGTATGCTCCCCCAGTATGACTCATTCCGGAGGCCGGGGTAAAAATTAAACGCCGCCCGCGCGCGCACACCACACACACACACGCGGCGCGCACTCACCCACGCCGCCAACGCCACCATTCACACACACCACACACACAACACCACACACAACACAAGTTTTGAATACCATTGTCTTGTTCCGCCTTTCTAGCGGTAGAAACGTCCCTCCCTTTAGCCTCACGATTCCTTAAACAAAAACTGTGAAAAATTCTTTTCCCGTTTCTGAATAAGCTCTCATATCTTTTGCTATTAAGTATAAGGGGATGTTCCCCGGGTCAATTCAATGGTAGGGATACTATTCATCGCGCACCTGCTAAATTTTCCCACTTGGACCATTTTTTTTCGTCGACTCGAAGGAAAATACCAATTTTATTAAGAAAAAAGAAGAGTATTAAAAAATCATGTACGCCCAAAGAATCTATATACTTAGATAAATTTTGCTAAAAAAAGTTTATTAAGATTTTATGCCTGGTTTAGGCCTGAAAAACCCGGTAAGTGTTTTTCTCGAATGCCTCCCATCGGACTTCTCCCAAACATATATGAAATAATTGAAAACCCTTTTTAAAAATTTATTTTAACTACCGGAACATAAACCGATCATGTTAATACCCATTATTCTTATTAGTTTCAAATATTTCTATTCAAAATCAGTTTTTAAAGGTTTTTTATTAAAAAATGGAAAAAAATCCTCCCCACTCGGACTCAACTTCAGAATCCCCATCGGACCTAAATTTATATACAAAAATTTTGGAAAAACAATTGCTGTCTTAAACATTATTATTTTTTTTAAAATGTCTTTATTTCAACGTTCAATTTCATATTAATTATTAAGAATTCAATGGAAACAGCATTTTTAAAATTTGATACTAATATTTAAATTACTAAAACAGTCTCGTTAAATATGTTTTTCAAAGGATTAAAAAGGGAAAAAATTTGTTTTTGAAACAATTCCCG